TAGGTGACCTGGACAGCATTATCAGCCTTTCCTGTAGTGATATGTTGAATAATAGCTCTCCTATCAGTAGAGGTGAGCTTGGATGGACGCCCTTCACAGAAGTTTTCCTTGTCTGTGTGACTTTCTTTGATGAACTTGGCCACAGTGGACTTGGATACTCCAGTTCTAGAGGAAATTTGACAAGCAGAGAGGCCAGAATAGGAAATAGAGAGGATATTATCCCTTTGAGCAGGGGGGGTGGCTTTCATGGTGAATATAACCATGACATATGGAAATTTTTGGTTTGTATAGTTAGATATGGTTTTAAAATGACATAATGACACCACTTTATAATTTATTTAATGGTGGCATGATTGTTATGGTGTCATAAATGATGATTTATATAGTTTTAATATGTGCTCAAAAAACTGTCCACATGAGTCATGATTTTGTAAGCCTTGTATCTCCACCATATCTCCTCTGATTCTCATGATGTGGTGCTCAATCCAAAGCCCTGAAGCAGCACTACAATATGGTATCAGCATGTCACTGAGGTCTTTATGTATTCTCACACAATATTGTAAATAGTAAAAAATGCAAAAACATGTGGACAGTTTTTTGAGCCACTGTATGTGTTGTCTAACTTTAACTAGGACTCATTCTTAAGATTATAAAACCATCTGAATGCACTGGAAATACTCAGTTTGTCCAAAAAATCATGTTCCAAAGTTGACCACCTATGTCATGCTGTCTTTCCCTCTAAGACTGATTTTTCTGGACTTCATATGACCTATATGGCTTGATCTTGAACTTGTTTCTGAGGTCACTGAACAATATAAATCTAGTGGTAATGCTCATTTCATGTGTAAAAATCATATTCAAAAATTGACTGCCCCCATCATGATGCCTCGCCCTCTAAGATTGATTTTTTCAGCCTTCACTTAACTTGCCTGACTTCAGATAGAACTTGTTCCAGAAGTCATTGAACCCTCTGAGAATGACAGCAACACTTGTTTAATGCAAAAAATCATGTTCCAAAGTTATGAGCTATGAGTTATGAGTTATAAATTCCTGTTGTGCCAAGGCCCTTACTCAAAGTCTTTGTATGATTTGAATAGCTTGATCTCAGGCTTACTTCTGAAGCAATTGAACCAGGAGGAACAATAATTTGAATTTGATGCATCAAAGTCAAGTTGTTGTAAAGTTGCCCACCTGTGTTCAAATTAACTGCTTATGCTTATGTGAGCAGTGTCACCCCTGTAATGCTGCCTCACCCAATGATTGATTTTTTCAGCCTCCATTTGACTTGCCTGGCTTCAGATAGAACCTGATACATTAGGTTATTGAATCATCTGAATGCAATGGCAATGCTGATTTGGTGTGAAAAAATCATGCTTCAGAGTTATAAACTACCCTAAGGTTGATTTTTTAGCCTTCATATGACTTGCATGGATTAATCTTAGACTCATTACTGAGGTAATTAAATCCATATATATCCAGCAGCAACAACCATTTGATCTGTCAAGGTCATGTTACCAAGTTGCTTCCCTGTGTTCAAATTGACCACTTTTGCCTATGTAAATGATTGATTTTTTCAGCCTCCATGTGACTTGGCTGGCTTCAAATAGAACTTGAGACAAAGGCCATTGAATTATCTGAATGCAATGGTAATGCTCATTTTCTCCATAAAAATTATGTTTCAGAGTTGTGGTGCCCTCTCCCCCTGCCTACTCTACCAAAAGGCATGGTTTTATGTCAATGCTGATATGCAGAATGATTTTCCTACTGTTTAATGATCATACAAATGGATTGGAGATGATTTCTGAGTGTTTTGAACCCTAATAAATTGCAATGTGTGAGTTTGCCTGATACCCCCCCTCAAAGATTGATTTTTCTAGGCTTCCTATGACTTGCCAGGATTCCAGGAGTGTTTGTCCTAGGGGCCATTAATCCCTCTGAACATGATGGTTGAGCCAGACTTCTCAAAAAAAATCATGTTCTTGAGATATGTGAGATCCCCCTTCCCCTCTTACCTTCCATATCTTGTTATTGTATTGTCATGATTCTTTGATAGTCTTGCTTTGTGTCTTCCTCAGCATAGCACTTCATACACAATGCTGATTTATTCTACCTCAACATATTCATGTCCAAAATTCATATTTCACACGAACAATACATAGAGTGACATGAATGGCAAATGCTCTTGGAAGCAAGAAAAAATTATACTATTATTAATAATAGGTTAATTCTCATAGGAGGTGACACACATACATGAGCTCTCCAAAGCAAAATTTATTAGTTACATCAGTTACATTAGACACAATCAACAGGACTCTAATAGAAGGGTAAAAGCTATCTAAACAGCCATCAAAAGCAAAAATAGTTGTTCTCAAAAAGCTTCATGAAGTGAAAATAGCTGGCACCATTATTAACAGTGGACTCCCATTGAGGAGTGAATCCATAGGAGTGACAACCAGTCAAATGGCCCCAGACTCACAAAGTGAAAAAAGTGAAAAGAAAGCTGGTACCATTATCAATGGTAGACTCCCATAGAGGAGTGACAACCAGCAAAAGGCCCCCAGACCCACAAAGTGAAAAAAAGCTAACAAAAGCTGGTACCATTATCAACAGTAGACTCCTATGGAGGAGTGACAACCAGCAAAGAAGAAAGAAAGAGAAATTTTTTGGTTCAAGTTGACCGCACTTTTGCTTATATAAGCATTTCTAAATGCAGCCTATCACTTAGAAATATTCACATATTCCAGAGTGATGCAGCTCTCCCCCTACCTACTGGGCCCAGAGGCATGATTCCATGTTAATACTGATGTTCCTAGTGTTTTGTGATCATATTAATTGATTGGAGATGGTCTCAGGATCATTTGGGCCCATGTAAATTGTGATGTGTCAGTTTGCCTCATACTCTCCACAAAGATCAAATTTTACAGACTTCCCATGACTTGCCAGTGTCCCAGGAGTATCTTTCCTGGGGGTTTATGAGCCCTCTAAACATGATGGTCAAGCCAGATTTCCCAGAAAAAATCACATTCTTGAGATATGCAAGGACCCCCTCCCCCCTACCATCTCATACATCTTGATATTATGTAAATACCAGCATGTAAAAGGGTGCACCTATGGTTATTATATCACAGGAATCAATTGGGAATGGTCCTGGAATATTCCAAGACTGTCTGGATTGAAATATGTCAGTTTGCCTCATACCCCTCACAAAAATTAATTTTTACAGACTTCCCATGACTTGCCAGTGCTCCAATAGCATTTTTCCCAAAGGCTCTTGATTACTCTGAACATGATGGTCAAGCCAGAATTCCAAGAAAAAATTGTATTCTTGAGATATGCAAGGTCCTCCTCCCCTCTCCTACCTCCTATATTGTGCTGTACATGATTTTAACTTAAAGCCAATACCATAAAGGACTGTCCTGGGGTTTCTCAAGTGTAGGAATTGATTAGTGATGGTCCCAGACCATCTGGAGGTCAATAATGGTGACATGTGTTAGTAGGGCCAAAAGTTTAGTATTTTGACCATGTTTTCACAATCCAACCACCAATTTCTTTAATTCTTAGCTCATATCATTTCTGGATGCACCCTCCATGATATGTACCAGCTCACAAAAAGAAGTTTTTGCACAAGTTTGAAACCTATTTCTGAAAGACCATATAAATTGCATGAGTTCAAGGTATGGCCATCATTTAACTTCTAGGAACTGAGAATTTTTGGACCAGTAACAGGGAACTGCTCACTCTGACAGTGGTCTCAACTGATGACCAAATTGCCCTTCATAACCCTCTAGCTATGATTGGGAAATATCAACATTGATGGGGTGAAGTTAAAAATTTGCACTTTATCATATAAGTGCAAATGAGCTGCAGACCCTGACTGGTGTTTATATCTCAACTTTCATGGCTAGTAGTAAAAAGTGAATCCAAGTCAGCCCTTGTGCTGTTTTGAGGAAGTGAGTGAGTAGGCAATGCCTTCACATGTTTTTTATGCTCAAATATTTTTAGAGGCGTGTGATAACAGAGGCAAATGAAGTGACTAAACATGCTTTGATGTTGATGGGCCCAGCCAAGATGCAACTTCTTTCTGTGACATCAGTACCCCTCCCTAAAAGGTACTATGGCCCTGCAAAACAGTGCACACAATCCATGTCAGAGGAGACTGCTGCACATATCTGCAAATACTGGTTGAAAACTACTCCTACCTTTTGCATTCCAGGAGTCAAGCTAGTGCAACTTGCAAAACAGTTGAAGCCTAGCAACACAGACAAAGTGCATGCCACAGAGGTCATGCACAAAATGGAAAATTGGGAGTCTGATGTCTTCTCTGCCAAATTCACTGATGCAGATGGCAACTTGCTAGCAGCATACTTCTCCAATTGAATCATTACCAATAATCCTCCAGGGGAACAGAATCCTCCAATATACATTGGCAGTCCACAGACTCCATTACAACTTCACCATTCCCTATGTGATCTGAAGAGAGCACAAGAAGACTGCACTGTTAGATTAGCATTTGATGACATTCCAGTAAGTGTTCCTTATGATGTTAGAGTGCATACTCATGAAATACATGGACTGATATTGTGGAGGATGCTCTGTATGCCTCCCAAGTCCTGCACCACTTCCTCCACCCATATAAAAGCAAAAGAGATAGGAGACATGATTTTGCAGACTTCCTTATGTGGTACAAGCACTGAGGAGAAGTAAAAGTGGATGAGAATGATGACAAGGGCTATGAGGATGGGGATGAGGACTATGAGGGTGAGGATGAGGATGAGGGTGAGTACTGGGAGGATGTACTCATGACTTTAAGCCATGCAGGGCTCGAGTATGAATTTGCAAATAAGTACAAAAATTTAGAATGCACTGGCATCTTCCACCTTGTCCATTCTTGGCAGATGCAAGGTTATTAAGGAAAGGAGGTAAGTTTTGGTAGCCCATGCAGTATACAAAACTGATTGCCCACCAAGGTCAATGAGAGTCCATTAAAACCTTCAGTCAACATGTTCTGCAATGAACAAGTTGCACTTGCTGTACAGTGGTATATGAAGCAGACATCCAAGTTGGCCATAATGCTCAGAGAGATGTTCAAAGTGGCCTACCTAGATGATTTTGAGATCTATCAAAAGGCCTTTAAGGCAGGCATCTGGGAGGTGGCAGACCTGGGCCCCTGGCCAGGGCATGCAATTGCCTGGAAGCTGAATGTCTTACCTCACTATAATAGGCTTGATGGTAGCCCTATGGTAATATTTTGCTTGAGCCACTTTTCAGGGGGTGAGGCCTACTTAACAGATCTCAAGTTCAAACTTCAGTATGTTTGAGATTTAGCTGACACTTCATAAGCATTTAATCTTGTTACTAGGTATTATTCAGGTGATGTGCTTATTTTTAGGGCTGGAGACCTCTACCATGCTGTTGGCTCTTGGAAGGCTGAAGGTGGTATTACCACATGGGGCATGCCTGGCTGCATTGGAAATGTTTTTTTTTTCACCAGTGCATTCTCTTTGTGCCTTGAAAAATAGGAAAGCTGGTTGGATGAGACATATTGCTGGAGGTGCCTTACCCAGCTCTGAGTCTTAGTGCTCATTTCATTACCACTTCATCATAAGTACTGTACTTGCCTAGGACTATGATTTTGTGAACAGACACCATGGTTGCTCTTCTGCTGAATGCATGCAGATACTACATCATTGAGAAAGAAATTGTGGTTAAGGCAGTGGTCTCTTGACCATGTCAGAGATATTGTCAGGATCTGAAAAGAGTCAAGCTCTGCATACAATTATTGATAGTCTTGAACTAAGTGAACATATCAGAAGACAACTGATTGACATTCTCAGTGACTCTGAACCAAGGAGCATCTGGAGAACCTGCTTCAAAGGTATTTAGTCCAAATGAATTGTTTTTCACCTCTAATTTCTGGTGGGTATGCAGCATCAGGCTCTTTGTCATATTAGGCTAGTGCAAGCACATAATTAAGTACAGTGCAATAAGGGAAACCTGTCATATCCACCCACTTTCCTTATCACCATCATGGGGCCTAGGCCTGGTAAGAGCATCCTTGCCATGACAAAGACTGACCCAATATGTATCCCTCCCCCCAATTTGTTTATTCTTATTGTTATTTGTGTGTCCACTGATACAAGTCTTTGGTTACACATCCCAGAGTTCAAGTGTACTATTGACTAGTATGTGTCTTACTTCAACATCTTGATACTGATGCCTCCATCAATAGTGCAAATATCACAAGTCAAGTTTGGTGATCTGCTCTAATGCTCAGAAATGAAGTTGTTGTGATCTCTCCAGACACAAACTATACTAGGAAGGCAAAAGGAGTTATAACATATTTATAACAAAGCAATGTCCAGACAATTGAATTGAATACTATATGTGCATGTTTTGACATAACAATTAAGCACTTGCCACTAGTAGTAGTACAGTAGTGGGACTCCTACTGAGGTGTGAGGATGCAGGGCAAAGCCAATTCAGTAAGATAGTGTTTAAACTATAATAGACTCCTGACTGGCCCTCTATTCATCTCCTTGCCTGAGTATTAGAGGAAGGCCTGTCATTATCATTGAAGCCATAATCATCTTGGGATGCATCACTGTATACATAATTTGAGTCTAAGTCATGATCAGAGAGGTTACACTTTATCCCTCTGGCCAACTTGGCATGGTACCACTCTATGTACTGTGCATGTGCAGTTTCCTCAGTGGTAACCATGAAGCTGTCACAACAGTGATCCCAGTCAAGAGAGACAGGGAAGATGATGTCATGCTGCATGATAGGGCTGGTATCAAACTGGGAATCCAACTCTTGGAAAAGAGCAGTAAAGTAGTCACACATCCTGCTCAGGTCCCTCTTAATCATGTTGTTGACATTGTCCATGTCAATGTCTGGAAACAGTGTCTTGGATATGGTAGTTAGTTTGATGTCAAGTAATAAAAAAAAGAATTTGATTACTCTGTGCATGACATTTGGACCATCATCAACATCTTTGTAGATCAGGGTGTCCCCTCAAACCCAAATCTGGTAATAGGATAGTGCTAATGGTGCACCACATATGCCCAGACAACAACAGTTGATGGAGGTGCTGAGGTATCCATGAGATGAGTAAAGTCATCTAAGAAGAGGTGAGACTTGGCTGAAGGTACAAGAGTCTGAGAGTCCTTGTTGAATTTTGGGACCACTAAAAGTTTGTAGGCATTGGAGGTAGATTCTGGTGATTCATAACCACCATCTTGGGATTGGAGGCAACCTCTAACCTGAACTTCTCATGAAGGTCACTCTCATCCTGTGAAAGAGCACACTTGCCTATGGCAACATGTTAGGACTTTGCAGTGACCATTCAATTTCTTTATTACTTTGAACAACATGAAAAAATCAGGTGTATAAATTGAGCAAGAGTTGGGGGTATTCCACCTGCAGTTAGTGTCTACAATGACAGTGATGAGATACTTGTTGAAAGGAACACCTCACATAAGGGATAATTCAGATACCAGGAATGTAATGTCAATTTCATGGAGGGGCAGGGCCATTCCAACAATAAGTAGAGATTTATCTTCTATAAACATGAATCTAGTGTGAATCCATTAGTAGTACTTGTGCAGCCCAAGGACTTGTCATTAGTCTTACCTTGGTGTAGGATATATGTGCTTGGTCTCAAAAACTAGTTTCAAGACGGCTTTGTATTTGTCAGAAGATATATCAGAAAACATCTGAAAATATGATTGGATGAGTTAAATACATTGCCTCACCCTTCAATTCTCAAAACACTCACCCTACTGCTGCTACTGAGATGATTAAAATTGGTATCTGAGATAAAGTTCAGAACATCCTTGCATTGACCTCAGAGATGTTGAAAGCTTCAACACTTGCTAGTAGACACCAAATTCAAAACATACCTGAAGAAATAAAATCACAATCAGTAGATTGGAGCTGCCACTTAGTGGCAGTCAATGGAACAAATGGACTCTTGGTTGAGGTCATGGGAAGAGTGCTTGAGGTTAGTTTGTTCCCATTTGTGAGTAAAGACTTGGACACTTTGGGAGATTCAGCCATGCTCAGGCTGATTGAATTCACCTCCCAACTCAATGGTGAGGTAGAACTTGAAGCTGGTGATGATAATGATGTTTTTAGGTAGGGCTTGGTTTTGGATTTCACAGTCTGCTGCTGAGAGGAGTTGGTCTGACTGCTGTTTCTGCTGATGAATTCAGAAAGAGAAGTGTAGCAGGACTTGCAGCTATTGTGAGCAGACCTCCTGTGTGAACCTTCAGAAATATTTGAAGCAGTCTTTACTCCAATGGACAGAAATTGGAAACAAAAAAATACCCGTTGTGTTAAAATTTGCACATAGCAGGATATGCATTACTTTAATACTTAGAAGGGATGTGGAAAGAGTATTTAAACCTGCATACTTGTGACACTCTATCACCTTAAGTTGTTGTAGAATATTTGGTCAAACTGAAACTTGAACATTATGATAAAGATGGACTTGGAGCTGTATTGGAGGCCAATGGCTGCATACTGTAAGTCAGCAGCAGACAGTTAAATTGACTTACTCAGGGACATCAACAGTTGCATGAGAATTACACAGGCAAGCAACCAGTCATCATGTTCCTAAGCCACTGCACAACTTGAATTGTAGCATAAAGCCAAACATAAGATTATACTTGAACACCTGGCAGTCCATGTACTGTTGTTTAAGTGTCACAGTGTTTCCACTGCCACTGTACCACTCTGGGCTTAAGCTAGGCAATTATTGGCTAGAAGCCCACAAAAATCAAGTCAGTGATTTTAAATTGAGACCTGAAGATCTGACCCTTGCCATGTGCAGAGGCTGTCCCAGAAGCCCACAATTGCTATAACACTATACATTGCAATTACATATATGCTCTATTTGGGTACTGGCTAACTACCTAGCTGGATGGTCCACATTTATATTCAAGCATATTAGAAGGAGCTCATAGGGAAGCCAGATTCCTGAGTCCATCAATGAGAGATGTTGTTAAGGTCGTACTCAAGGGATAACTGGATCCAAAGGGCTTTGGCCTCAGCTCATGCGCTGTGCCCCTTACCTGAGTATTGCCCCTTATTTCAGGAAGGCAAGACTAATGCATCTGGAAGGTCAGACAAGTAGCATAACAGATCTGGACGACTTCCGGATGAGTCCAGACTAGAAACTAATGGTAATGGACTGTCGGAGACAGAGGCGGATACGGATAGACTATAGGAATCAATCCTAAGTCTTGGAGGGTGACAAGAGTAGAGGTACTCAAGTCCAGAGGACAGGAATGAGTAGAACTAAGATGATATTCAAACTGAGGTACTACAGAAAGTTACAGGAGGTTATATACCATAGGTATCTAACGGAATGATCAATCAGCAGAGTCCGAGGCTATGTATGAAGCATGTGGATAGTCTATTGGTAAGTAGAAACAGATCACAAATCATGAAATGGAAATGAAACATAGGTAGCAGGATCAGGGAGCAGGACGGATATACAGATAACCAAAATACTGGAGTTAGGGGGTTACCGAAAAGAGACAAGCGCTGGTTGTGGATTCAGATGAGTTGTGGACTGGACTAGATGAGTGGACAGATTGAATGATGAGATGTTGGAGGGAGATAAGATGTGGATAGGCATTGGAGATAAGATGTGGATCTGAGATGAGATAAGGGTTGGATCTGAGATCTGGATATGCAGATATAACAGATGTGGATCCAGCCAAGCTTACTATATCAGAAGTGGGTTAGAAAATATAGTCCTGTTGTTGGTAATATGAACTAAGATATGGATTGCTTACTGCATTGAAGCAAGATCTGGATGTGATGCCATTATGCACCTTGGGTCACTAACACTCATAGTGGAGTTAAGATGAGCATGCAATACATAAAGTGCATGAAAGATTACAGGTTGACACAGGCACTGGCAGGTGTGACAGTTAATTACAGATTTCTTTGTTTGCAAGGTGGTGCTGGTATGAGCTAGAATAAGCTGCAAGGTACAGAAGTGACACAAGTATGGAAGCCCTGTGTTGAAATTTTTTCTCCTGTTTCTCCTGAAGATGATTGTAATTGGTTATGAGACCTTGGCAAGCAGGTAACTTGTGTTCTGAACCCTAAGGTATGGGCAACTTAGTCTGTCAAAGCTGATGGCATTGACATTTACCATTAATATTGAATGATTCCTCTTAGAACACATAATGGGATAGATGCACAAATGGATCATAAAATAAGCAAACTTCAAACCTGATCCAATGACACTCTATCAAGAAACAGAAAACCAAGTATGTGCAAGAGCAAGTAAGCAGCCCTCTCAATAATGACTTGGAGCAATTTGAAACTTTGAGATCCAGCCTTAGCAAAGGCTATATAAGTTTGCCCTTGCCAATCAAGAAGCACCATTTAGGCTCTTGCACTAGTGGGTCTACCAATATTCAGTGAGTAAATGGATCTGCTTGTGGTCATAGTAGTACCCATGACAGTCACCAAGTGAATTAGTAAACCTGGGGACCAGGACCTGGAATGCACTGGAAGTGCAACCTTCAAGTCTCATTGCATCACCATATCTCCCATCCATTCAATCTTCACCTGAAATTTTCACTAGCAGGCCATGTGATACCCCAATGAGATCAACAATCTTACCCAGTTAACACTACCTCAGCCACATTCTCAGGAACAGACCCACTTGGCTCTTGGGTAGAGGCATCTACTGTCTGTGCCATGTGCTTTGGCCCAGTAGACGAGACTGTTCCAGTAGCTGACAGGCCACCATTCATGAGTAAACAGGTAACATGAGCAGATTGTTGTGCCTCAGTGGCACCAAGGGGCGATGGCATCCCACTGTATGCAGGGGACATTACAAAGTTAAACAGTAATGAATGTGATGCATCCCCCTCTTCCACACTGATATACTCACTAACTCCACATACCATACCCAAGGTTTGTTGCTATACATTTGTGAGAGTGCATTGGCTAGGTGTTTTCAGCACCAGGTATGTATATGATTTTGAAATTGAAGCTTCTGGTCAAAGATCCTGTCTAGGAGAGAGCTAGCTTTGAATGGTTAGCCATTCCAATCCTTTGCGATTTTACCAATAGAGCTAGAACTCTCATAGCATTGTCAGTTTCACAACCATGGTCAACTGGTGAATCAGCAAAGACCTGAAAGGATGTGTGCATTGTCTGTGAGATCATGGATGGGAGTTGGAAGATATTGAAAGTATCTGTGAAGCTCTCAGTGTCTCATGGAGCTGTTTTCACTGGCAATGGATATTCAAAGAACATGGTGCTATTGGAAAGCCTCTTTCATTCATTGGACACACATGTACCATTACACAGGCACTCTTGACAGTCATTCAAGACCTTTTTGCAGAGCAATCAGACTTGTACCTCATCTTGTTGTTGTCAACAGCATGTACAGGTAAATCTGGGAACTAGAGAGGCTTTCAACTTCATTAATGCTCTGTGTCAAGATATAACTATTGACATTACTCATATGTACTCATCTTTTTCCTTTACATATGCAATCACTCTTTGTTACACACCTCATACACATTCTCCTTTAAGTCTCCATCTCAATCAGCATATTAAATACCTCTCCCTGTCAAATGTTGTTCTCTAGTCATTTGACCTAATCTCAAGTCTTCATTCTCATTCCTTGTCCCTAGTCTGAGCCTCTCCAATTCTTGAGACTCTGAACCTCTTCAGTCCTTTTCAGCTCTTTGAGAGCTGCAAACTCAGCAGTCTAGTGAAGAGTTCTTTGTCAACATGTCAAAGGCACAATGAGAGCTTGCCCTTGCATCACTTCGAGTGATGGAACATACACTTTCCTTCAATGTCTGTAATCTACAATTGTTATATCTCCCCAATTCTGAAGTTTCCAGGCTGCACAACCAAGTTAAAAAATGTATCCCCCCACATCTATCCTATGCCTGCTGATTCTAGCCTATTCACATACAAACAACTCACTTCGATCAGGACCTTGCCAGAGAAATCAAATCATTCTTAGACCATGAGTGACTGTTCTAATAGATTTATACACCTGCCAATATAGAGGAAATTGGATCCAGAGTCTATGGCTTTCATTTATCTAGAAAATACATAGACAAGATCAAGGCAGCCTTTTATTGAAGTATCATTCCACCACAGAGCAAGAAACCCTCAAACAAACAAAGGACATCACACCTCAGCCACAAGACAAGGGATGTCAATGACTTATGAGACCAGAACCACTAGCCCATGCACCTTGCCACTCAGATTCAGGGTGTTTGTGTCAAATGACTGGTACATTTTGCAAAATACTTTGACATCATTGAACAAGTTTCTAACAGGAAATATAAACAAGCTGGGTCATATTTGCTATTCCTCTCCACAGGTGCATTGACCTTGCATATCCAGAGTTGCTGATGGTGACCCCTGCTCCTCCCCCTTCCAACAAGTGCAATATTACAGATGCTTAACAGAGCAGTGGGAGAAGTAGTTCAATTGCATCTGACCGATGTCCTCCTCCCCTGAGGCTGCACAAAATGCCGCTAGTCAAAGCTTCCCTTTTGGTGGAAGACATTAACAAGAGAACCAGAGAGACCACTGTGTATGTTCTCAGCTGGAGAGGAGTTGAGCTCAAAAATTTGCCTGATGGTGTACTTGGAGGAGTGTCACAGTCTAACATGGGGGAAATCAATGCCAGTGTGTTGTGACTTGCAACTTATGAGTTGTGCCATCCATGCTATGCATGGACACTGGAGACAGTAAGTCATAAATCTAAGATACTGCGGTTGATGTTGCATACAATTTAGAAGGATGGTCATCATTAATCTATTGATGATGGTAAACAAAACTCTGCCACACTTTTGGGTCTTCTACCATGGGTACCTAATTTTTGCAGATCCTCATACCTGTACCCATGTGGGTGAGCCAATTGCAGGTACCCGACACACTACCCACACCATATGCCATACTCTTCAAATAGTTTTGGAATGGTAAAATATGAATTGATGTGGCAAATTAACTAATGGAGTACTAAGGAGCACAATGGACAATGTACTTGATGTCCTGGCAGAGAGAAAAATGAATGAAGGAAGTGAACAACACAACTGCTCAGCTGGACACATGGTGCCTGGATATTCTAGCAGGCTGCCAGCACCTGCAATTATGAAATAAAAAACAACATTAGCTAGAAAGGACAATTAGTTTTCACTTGAAATTTTGAATTCCATGACACAACTATTTGTTTTATTTTGTCTGGTGGTACACATGCCCCTCATAGTTAACATGTCCAGCTTTTGAAAAAAAATAACACTATCATGAATGCCTGACTTAAGATTGACAGAGAAACTTCAGCACATACCCAACTCATGTGCTGAACCCTATACTGGGAGCAATTGGGTTGTGTTTGGTCTTGTCACCAATCCAAGTACTTGATGGTGCGTGTGCACCAAATCCCAGACTCCCTCATCTGATCATTTTCTCATTGCCAGTTTACTTGGGCTTGTTCTGATTACTGTCTTTCTTCCAGCCTCTGGCCCAGTGATCTCAAATTGGTGTTTCTCTTTAACTTGTCAGCATACTTGTGCCCTGTTGTAACTTGTGACACAATCTTCCTTTTGGCCAAAACTTCACTCTGATGAGTCTGACCTCAATTCCCAAGCATCTTGATACCATATAGGCAGCAAGACAAGTGGCCATCACTATAACACTATTGAAGTGGCAACACTTTAGATTTCTTACATTCTTACATTCACAACTGGCCAGCCTACTTGATCTTGTATTCTACATTTGTGCTGTGAGTTATTTTCCTAAATTTCTATCTGTCCTTCCTCAGTCTAATTCTTGTGCCATCATGGGTCCCCTCTGCTGTTTGTTTGTACTACACATTGGCATATTTCCTCTCATGCTCCATGGGAGTGGTGCCAGTACTCTTATGGCTGTGATTTTGGCTCTGAACTTGTTGATTCTTTCTCCTGTGGTGTGACTTAGGGTGAAGTACACCTGTACTAGCATGCCTTTGAAATGTCAACTGTATTCTGCTGGTCCAATTCTTCCACCATTAAAGCAAAGGCTACTAGTGGATTTGTGTAATACATCCTTGACAATACGTCCAATGCTTCTCATGCCTCCAGTGTGTGTATCAGCCACATCCCAACATTGTTATCCTCTGATACATTCTGTCCTTGCTGTCTTTTCTTGTTAACATGTGATCTTCTCTGTCTCTATGCTTACTTACCTTCACAAATTCATGGTCAAATTTCAGTCTAACTGCTCTATCCTTAGCCAAGAATCCTTGTTGTCTGAAGATGTTCCATTCTACAGCTTTCTTTTGCAATAACTTCAGGCTGTTCACTGTGACATCATTGTTGACTGCAAATGGCCCCCCTGTAAGGTAACTCTATCATGCACATGTGAGTTGTATGCCTAATGTGCTTCACTCCAACAGTGGGCCCTTACCAGTCTGTGTCACTTGTTGAGTGGTATTTTGACACAATGGTGACTCTGACACCAAGGTGCCTCCTTTCATTATTGTCTCTTTGCCACCTACCTCCACTCAACCTCATTGAGTAGTTGCTCATCTCCTGTGCATCTTCCTTGGTAAGTATTCCCTCTCAAATGGCTAGAAACTGGTCTTCTTTTGCCTGTCTTACTCTAGTAGGCAACATAGCAGTCAGTTTTGAATTGTGTATGGCATTCAATCATTGCATATGCCTCTTTGACCACTGCATTGACATGCATAGTTTGCTAGCATGTTGCATAATTTGCGATGTGAATGGGAGTTTTAAAGCAGATAGCAATAACAAGGCAACCTTTAAATGCATAAGTAGATACTTTCATGGGAGAGTCACTCTAGATGCCAAGTGAGATTGTCAATGGCAATAGAGACCCATGAAGCTAGATGGGAAGCAGACGGTTGGTTGTCTGTATGGATGAGAGACTGAGGGCAGAAGGGAATTTTCACAAAGCAGCCACAAATTTCACACCATACCAGTCTGTCAACTCAGAAGCAATGTAAGTAGCTTTCATGTTCAAAGTCCCTTGAAGATAGAAGAGACAGAGTCACCCTCTTGAGGCGATAATGAACTTATATTGGGCACTCAAGTGGAATGTTAACTAAGGCTTCAACTGAAAATTCTGTGTGTCAAGTTTCAGTTCTGCTGCAACCCAGGCACTGGGCAATGTCTCACAGGACTGTATCCTGCTAATAGCAAGAGATTGATTATGACACCATCAAAAGTGACTTGGGCCTACCTTGGAACATGAGGAACATACAACAACAACTGATGGACAAAAAAGGAAGGAAGTTCACATGGTGCAAAATTGAGCCTGACTTTTCAGATTAGGTTACAAAACCCTCCCTACTTCATAGAGTTGGGGAAGCTTAAAGATCATTAATATATCGCCCCTGATCAAGTGAACAATCTCTTATAATCATTGGAGAGCAGAATGCCCCTCCCACCTCAACTACATGCCCTTCATCAAGACATGATGATGCAGGTTAGTATGCAGGAGAAGCATCAGGTATTGGATTTTAACAATGTGTATTTATTGCTCTTGATAGCTGTACTTTGTCCTCACATATTCTATTCTGTTCTGGAGCTGGGACCTATCAGAATGCTCAGCTATTGACCTCTACATACAGTCCTTGTATGTTGGACACTTTAATGCCACCTACTCCATCATTACATTTATCACTTGTGATGCAAAGGTAATGGTGCCTAATCTTAATCTATGCACTGTCCTCAACCAGTGCAATGCACTCAATTCACATAACATGCTTCCAACACCAGAGCCTTCTTTGACCCCAGTTACTGTTCATTCTCAATCAATCACCTCTGATATGCAATGCCCTTGAGAACAAGGAACCCTTCTATTAAGGTTGTACTCAAGGGATAATAGATCCTAAGGGCTTTGGCCTCAGCTGGTGCACTGTGCCCCTTACCTAAGTATTGCCCCTTATTTCAGAAGGACAAGACTAACATGTCTGGAGGGTTGGATGAGTAGCATAGCAGATCCAAATGATTTCCAGATGTAGGATAAGTATTGTAAGACTAATCCAAATGAGTCCAGACTAGAAATTATTGGTAATGGACTGTTGTAGACAGAGGCAGATGTGGATAGACTATAGGAATCAATCCTAAGTCTTGGAGGGTAACGAGAGTAGAGGTACTCAGGTCCAGAGGACAGGAATGAGCAGAACTAAGATGATATTTGAACTAAGGTGCTACAGAGATTTACAGGAGGTTATATACTGTAGGTATCTAATGGAATAATCAACCAGCAGGGTCCAAGGCTATGTATGAAGCATATGGATAGTCTATTGGTAAGTAGGAATGGATCACTAATAATGAAACAGAAATGAAATGTAGGTAATGGATCAGTGAGCAGGGTGGATATGCAGATAACTGAAGTACTAGAGTCAGGGGGTTATCAAAAGGAGATGAACGCTGGTTGTGAATTTGGATGAGTTGTGGACTGGACTAGACAAGTGGACAAATTGGATGAGGGGATATTGAATGGAGATAAGATATGGATTGGATCTGAGATCCAGATATGCAGATATGACACCTTCCATCATATACCCCAATTAATTGTTGTAGATGTTGTGAAGATATGCTGTTGGATCATGATGGTTTATTGTATCCTGTGAGAAAATGACATAGATCTTCATCTTATGCTGGCATTGGTAGCCCTCCACAATTCCACCATGAGGGAAAGACCCCTGAGCTTGACCTTGGCATGCTTCCACAACCTGAACCTGAGGGGGAGCCCCTTGAGCTTGATTTTAACCCTCATAATACCTGTCCACAAAGGAAATGTACTTGAGGTGCTTGTTGTTTGTGGATTAATATTGATACTGCATGTGGCCCTGAAGAACATAAAGATGATGATGAAGAGGAGCTGAAGCAGGTCATGGAGGGTGTCATATCCCACAATCCGGACCCACATTCCATCATATTCCCACGCCTTCCAAGCCTATGTCTGGACCACACTTTATATCCAACTCATTCCCAGATCCCCTTCCACTGTGTGCTCTACACCTCAGCAGGATCAACTATGCTCTGGATTTACCCCTGAGCTCTGGACCATTGGATCCTCATTGCTAGCCTGATCTGTACAACCCTATCCTGTCCACCCTATGTGCACTCCATCCAGCAAGACATCTGGACTTCACCTCATCTCAGGTTCTGGACTATATCCACCTTCTCGTATTCTGGTCCTGTATCCACCTTGTCTTCTGGATCCCCAGATCTCCAGACCTATTTCTACCCTCTATCTGATATCCTGCACCTATCCCCATTTAGGCATTCTCTGCCTTCCGGCTTTTGGTTACCTCTTGTTCTGTCTTGCTTATTGATCCTTGTACAAGTCCTCATCTCTGAGTTCATTTACTTATGTTCTGACTTACTTACTAATGTGTTTCCACATGCTCATACATAGCCTTGCTCCTTTGCTTACTGATCCCCTCAGATATTCTCCAGTATATAACCCCTGTAGATACTCCTGTAGTTTCCTTAGTTTGAATATCAACTTAGACTTGCCCAATCCTCTCTTGGACTTTGGTCCACCTAAGTCTGTCCTACCCATCAGGCCTAGGGATTGATTCCCTAGGCTGGAGCTCCGCCTTTCTGGCACTTTCCCTCTTTCTGGACTTAGGTCCAATCCCTGTCCCTCCAACTCTACCTTAGGGTAGTCTACCTCTGTTTGTTTCTACATCAGACTTCGTCTGATGTAGCCCCTATTCCTTCCAGACCTCCAGACCTCCTGTCCCCTGTACCTCCAGGCATCCTGTCCTTCGGACATTCTGCCCTCCATACCTTCAGATGTTCCATCCTCCTAACCTTCGGGCATCCTGTCCTTCATACCTCCAGACATCCTGTCCTTCTGTCCTCCATCATCCTGCCCTCCTGTCCTCCTGTCCTTCTGTCCTCCGTCATCCTGCCCTCCTACCCTCCTGTCCTGTCCTCCTGTCCTCCAGACCTTTGGACCTCCTATCCTTCCATCCTGTTTCCTGTAGAAGTATTACCTTGCAGTGGAAACTCTCCTGAGCACTTCCAGTGTTCCTCTGGAACTCTCCCATGCTCCTCCGGACATTTCCTGCACTCCTCCGGAAGTCCTCTAGTGCTCTCCAGCAGAGTAGCCAGCCTCTGGAAGTCCTCCAGACTTCATCAGACCATCATCAGACCTCATATGAAATGAAGGGCACATACTTGGGTAAGGGGCACAGCATATGAGCTGAGGCCAAGCCCCTCTGAGTCAGTCTCTCTCCCCCTTGAGCAACATGGTTCTTAACAGAGGGCGAGACAGTGGGTATGGTGAGGCTAGCAAGTATGAGTATGGTGAATAGGGTGAGTTTGGTGAGGAGGAAGAAGTGCAAGATGATAGAGATGTTCAGTCAGTGGGTGGTACTCAAATTTTACAAGGTTCTTGTAGGATGTGGGCCTCAGATGAACCCAGGATTTCTTGCAGTGATAAAGCTGTGACTATTATCACTGAATTGGCATCCATGCATTATCAGTCATCAATCCATGATCCACTTACCTGGCTGTGAGACATCACATGTCACACACAAACCCCATATGTGGAGGATGTGTCTCTGTTATCAGTTGTGGCCAGATGCAGAGGGATAGCCAGTAGGGATATCTGTACTAACTTCCTTCTCATGGTCAACTACATGATGCTTATCTGCAAGTGTCAAAGGTGCATCTTCCTATTTCTTTGCTTAACTACTGTTGACTCAATATGCTCAATAGCATACATGTCAAGACAGGTGTCCACTTGAAAGGCATATACAACTGTGAAATCAAAGGTTGTCCCCTCTGTGGGGTCTTATATTGAACATTTTTAGACTGGCACTCAATCAGCAGCAAATTCATTGCTATTGCCTCTGGTGGTTCCATTGATGCACTAGTACTCATTGCTGAGCTTGGGCTCAGGGTGTCTATCACATCAATAGTGGGGCCTACCTACTTGCATTTAGCTGACATGCTGTGATCGCCTCCAAAAGGTAAGTCATCAGAATTCTTCTTCAGAGCACAAAATGATGAAACCAATACACATGTAGGTTCTATTCAAAGACAACTGATTACAGATTATATCGCACCCACAGTTGTGCACATGCATTTGGCTTCTCCCCTTACTATGGCCTCAATGTTCTCTTAAGCATTAATTGAAAGGTATGCAGTGTCCAAGAATGTTGTCATATCCCATGTACTGGACCTAGATCTCATAATATTCCTACAGCCTTCCTGGCCTATTTCTGGACCCCACCTCCAACTCATTCCCAGATCCTCTTCTGCCATGTGCTCCATATCTAAGCAGGATTAGCTCTGCTACAGATTTACCCCTGAGCTTCAGACCTCTGGATCTCCACTACTAGCCTGATCTGTACACCCCTATCCTGTCCACCCTATGCACATTCCATCCAGCAAGACATCTGGACTTTACCTCCTCTTGGATTCCAGACTACATCCACCACCTCACATATCTCAGTCCTGTTTCCATCTTGCCATCTGGATTCCCAGATCTCTGGACCTCTGGATATTAACTGTTACTATCTCCAGACCTATTCCCACCCTCCATCTGAGATCCTGTACCTATCCCCATTTAGGCATTCTGCCTTTCTGGTTCTCAGTTATCTCAGTTTCTGTCTTGCTAATTGATCCTTGTACTAGTTTCATCTCTGAGTTCATTTACTTATGTTCCATGTTAAGGTCGTACTCAAAGGATAACTGGATCTGAAGGGCTTCGGCCTCAGCTCATACGCTGTGCCCCTTACCCAAGTATTGCCCCTTATTTCAGGAAGGCAAGCCTAGCGTGTCTGGAAGGTCAGATAAGTAGCGTAATGATCCAGATGACTTCCGGATGAGGGATAAGTATCGTATGGCTAATCCAGATAAGTCCAGACTAGAAACTAATGGTAGTGGACTGTCAGAGACAGAGGCAGATATGGATAGACTATAGGAATCAATCCTAAGTCTTGGAGGGTGACGAGAGTAGAGGTACTCAAGTCCAGAGGACAGGAATGAGCAGAACTAAGATGATATTCGAACTGAGGTACTACAGAAAGTTACAGGAGGTTATATACTATAGGTATCTACATGAATGATCAATCAGCAGAGTCCAAGGCTATATATGAAGCATGTGGATAGTCTATTGGTAAGTAGAAACAGATCACAAATAATGAAACGGAAATGAAACATAGGTAGCAGATAAGGGAGCAGGACAGATATACAGATAACCAAAATACCAGAGTTAGGGGGTTACCGAAAAGAGACAAGCGCTGGTTGTGGATTCAGATGAGTTGTGGACCAGACCAGACGAGTGGACAGATTGAATGACGAGATATTGGAGGGGGATAAGATGTGGATAGCATTGGAGATAAGATGTGGATCTGAGATAAGGGTCAGATCTGAGATCCGGATATGCAGGATATGACATTCCATCTCACCTTACTAATGTGTTTCCACATGCTCATACATAGCCTTACTCCATTGCTTACTGATCCTCTCAGATATCCTCTAGTATATAACCCCTGTACAACTCCAGTAGGGTCCTCAGTCTGAATATCATCTTAGATCTGTCCTCATCATCTTAGTTCCTGTTCTATCATCTAGATCCTGTTCTCTCAACCTTCTCTTGGACTTTGGTTCACCTAAGTCTATCCTATCTATCAGGCCTAGGGATTGATTCCCTAGGCTGGAATCTTGCCTTTCCAGCACTTACCCTCTTTCCAGACTTAGGTCTAATTCCTGTCTCTCCAACTCTACCTCTTTGTTTCTACATTGGACAAAGTCTGATATAGCCCCTATGCCTTCTGGACCTCCAGATGTCCTGTCCTGCATACCTCTGGATGTCCTGTCCTCCTGTCCTCTGGATCTCCTATCCTTCCATTCTGTTTCTCATAGAGATATTACCTTGGGGTCTCTCCACTTCCTATGCAGTGGAAACTCCTCTGAGTATTTCCTGTACTCCTCCAGAAGTCCTCCCACACTCCACCAGAGTAGCCAGCCTCTGGAAGTCCTTCAGACTTCATCAAACCATTATTAGACTTCATCTGAAATGAAGGGCACATACTTGGGTAAGGGGAATAGTGTATGAGCTGAGGCCAAGCCCCTCTGAGTCAGTTCCTCTCTCCCTTGAGCATGGATCTTAACAAATGTTGACTACACAGATCTCTTAGCTTCTGATTGCTTCTTTGATGCTATCATACAAAAGTGCATATGAAATGTTGCAATTATGCTATTCTTAACTAATTAATATTACTAAGCACTTTGTACTGCTCTCTCACAGTCTTCAAGTTCAGAGTGTTTGCATTGCACCAGTTGGCAATCTCACCAGAGTTCCAATTCAAAGCTTGAACCACAAAGAATTCTATGGTTCACACCATCCTTACAGTCTGCAATTATCTGATGCTGAAGAAGATGAAATCAAGCACATCATTATCAAAACATCATACAATCCACTATCCCCACAAACAAGTGCTTTAAAGCACCTCAAGGACAGAGATGCCAATACCAAATGAACTGTGGTTCAGAGGTCATATGCTAAGTCAGGTGAGAGAGTCACAGGCATTGAAGACTTGCACAGGAAGGTATGTCATTGCATAGGGCTTCTGTCCCACTCCTGACATTATAGTATCCCAACCCACAGCTTGCAGCTATGTATAAAGCAGGTGTGAAGAAGTCGCCAGAGTCATACTTGTGCATACAAATGTCTATCATTCCTAAGTGTGTATCTTTGATATCTGATTTCTCACATTGACATACAATATTTATATCATACAGTCATCATTTGGAGCTAAGAAACACAGATGGGTCACTGATGACATTTGTTTCTATAGGACTTCCTAGTCATATTAGATCTTCATTGGAGGTGAATTTGTTGGCCACCTTGGAACATCCACACTTGTTGGAGGTGCATGACACTAGATTATCTGGAGGGCCACAATTTCAAGCTATACATCTTTCATGGTACAACAGACATTGCACTAAGGCAAGTTACAAGTTGTTAGAGTCATCAATAACCAAATGTTCTCAATGCATACACTATAGGGTCATGAGGCTCCTCCAGATGTTCAACCTTGGCTGTTGGAGAAGGCTGGCATGCACACCAACCATGGACAGGTAATACCATACATATCATTAGATCTGCAGCAACATCAGAGGATTTATGTGCCTGTATTCTCATTGATGAAGATATTGCCAAGATGGATATCACAATGTAATATATGATGTTCTTTATATGCTTCCTGGTGAGCTGTCATTAGAGGGAGATCAGCAAATGTGTTCAACCAGAAAATAGGGGGTAAATGAGTTACTTTGAATGGAGCACAAGATAGCAGCTGCCAGCTCCTCATGATTTTTAAAATTGGTAACCAGCTTAGTATTGGATGCCTTTGTCTGGAGCCAGAGATGCATGCAGTCATCAAACCTCCCAGTCTCAAGCTCATGCTGCAGGTGTTCTATGCTAGCCCTGTGATGGTGTCTGTGATTGAGAAGCTGTGGAGGCAGAAGAGTAGGAGGGGGGGGGGGTGTTTATGCTGAACTGGTGGGCTGCAAAGGTGATGTCCAGGGAGGACCATATGCACTGCATGAGGATGTCATTCTTAGTCTCTTCCAAGATATTGTATGTGAGAAAGCTTAGGGATTGGTGTGTTTCTTCTTTGCTAGCTTTGGGGCACAGGGGGATACCTTCACTTCTAGACCATCTTGGTTCATGTATTGTGCAATATCTGTAATTGCTTTGTGGAAGCATTCAACTAGGATAGGGCCTTTTACTAATAGGTTCTTTCCATTGTGGTTGAAGACTCTGACAAGAATTTTCAGGTGAGGGACTTTAAGCTATGCTGTGATAACTTTTGGGGCCAAGAAGTCCAAAAGTTAGGCTGTGTGTGCTAAGGGATTGCTGTGAGAGAGTTCACACTGCTTAGTTTGATGATGGAGCAGTTCATTTCCACTACAGCTAGGTGGGCCCTGAGGAGGTCTTCCTCAGTGGGAGCAGCAGGTTTGGAGGGACTGGTATGGGTAGGGGGTGGAGGGATTAATGAGTGAGGGATTCTCAGACATTGTGGTGTCTTTGTCATTCCTAGGTGCATGAATGGAGTTGGATAGGTCCTCTTTGATTGTCTCTTTGTCAGGCCCAGTCTCTCCTACTACAACCAGTGAGGGAGCAGGGCAGGTGAAGATGGGTGCCCTGGTTTCAGTGTGGTCATGGGTTGGTAAAGGGGGTGAGGGTTGAGGGTTGGGGGTCAGGATCAAGGGTAGGAACAGTGATTCCATTGAGTCTCCTTCATCATCTAAGGCATTGGGAGGGAAGTAATAGGAACCAGAGCAGTAGGGTCTAGGAAGGGGTTGGTGGGTTCCCATTGGTGATGGATGGGCACTAATGTTGGCTATTTTAATAGTGAATTGGTCCTTCATTCCACTGAAGAGGTTAGGGGTTTGTGTTTTTTTTTAGGGGGGAGGCTTATAAGCATTAGGGGGGCATGTTCTCATGAGGTTATTTGTTTGGTAAGGCTGTGTTCATGGCTGTGTCTTGCATTGTTGTGTCCATTGTGAGCATGTGTGCAGGGTAGTAGATAAGAACCTAGTTGTGGTTTCTGTGAGAGGTAGTTCATTGTATTCTGTTAGTTTAAGGGAAGATTAAATGCGAAAGGTTTCTTAGGGGGTGTTATTATGTCTCGCCTGTTATGTGTTTAGTTTGTGTGGGTTTGTGGTGTTTTGATTGACATGTATGGAGGGACTTGGTGGTGAGATATGAGTTCTTATTGGTTGTCTGGGTTCATTTCAGTAGCCTGCTCAGCATATGATATACCTATGGTGATTTGTGTGAGGGTGTGCATTTGGTACAGGACTTATCCAGTGCTTGTTCTTTTCTTTTGGGGGGTTTGTGTCATTTTGGTGAGCAGGAGTTTTGTTTTTATATTAGTCTGGTTGTGTTCTTTGTAGCTTTTTGGTTTCTGGTTTGTAGTTGGTGGGACTTCTGTTGTTGGTTTCTAGGTAGGGGGTGTGTATGCATTGTGTGCATTCATGGGTTTTATTTTGGCTCTGGTTGGTGTAGTATGGAGTGGGTCAGGCATTGTGTTTTGGTGGTGTACTTTAGTTGTATTAGGCAGTGTAGTAGGTGTTTTTACAGGGTCTCTAATAGTCATTGCATTGTTGTTTGAGGGCCAGTGTCATATGCCATTCCAGACTCTTAACTCTAAATCCACTTCTCTGGATATCCAGATCCAAGATCTGGATCTCAAATGATCTGATTTATCTTTATCTCCCTTCTGCAATCCAAACCCTATATCAAGGCCCAACCCCATTTAGACTTCCCCTGTCTCCGGACTCTGGCTAACTATGTTTCCCTTCTGATTATTGATCCATTACATACATTTCATTTCTGGTATTCATTATTTATGATCCATCCTACTTACTAATAGACTTTGCATATGCTTCAGTACATAGCCTTTATGTTTGCTGATTGATTCCTATATGATACCTACAGTATATAAACCTCCTATAACTCTCAGAAATACTCCAGTTCGAATATCATCTTAGTTCCTGCTCATTCCTGTGTCCTCTGGACTCAAGATAAGTCTCTTGTCATATTCCAAGTCTTAGGATTGCATCCTAGACTACATTTCCAACTCTACCTTAAGGTAGTCTATCCTCTGTTAGTTTCTAGTCCAGACTTCGTCCAGATTAGTCTTATCTGCTTGCCCAGGTAATATCCGGACGTCCGTCGGATTTATCTCACATTTCAGATCCAGACATCCATTGTCCGCCCTAGTCAAATCCCAGGAACTCCAGATGACTGTTCTAGCCCCTGGAAATTAAGGGCACATACTTGGGAAAGGGGCATAGTGTACGAGCTGAGGCCAAGCCCTTGTGATCCAACCCCCTTGAGCACATGACCTTAACAGCCAGTGTTTCACTGTGAGCATGGTTTGCTTGACCTTGCTAGCATTTCATGCATGGGAAAATCCAACCATGGTGGTGGTTCAGGTTCAAGGGCCTCCAGTAAACATTTTCACCATGCGAGCAAAGTTTGATAATGTTTTTCAAAAGTTGATTTTTGTCCAGTGGGGTCCCTCATACCCATCTGCACTCACTTAGAGTACTTGTGGTGCTGATTTGGCATTGACCATCATACATCAAGCTTTGATGGCATCTAAAAGAGTCAACCTGTTGAAAGTGAGTTCAAAAGTTGTTCTGAACAACTTGCATTTGGTATAGCTCAGGGCATGCATTCATAAATGTTGTTTTGGCTTATCTGAGAGAAAAATACCATTCTTGGACTACTGGTGTACTAAAATGCATCAAATTTTTCATGAGTGAGATACTAGTAGTATTAGCTAATGTGAATATATTAATGGTATACATGCATTTATTCAAAATCAAAATCAGATAATTTGATATTGGTATGCTGTTGCAAGCACCTGTAAATGACAATGCTGTCTGTAAACTTGTCTAGAACAGCATTTTCAGCATCACTGAGTTGATCCAAGTTCAGATTAGTCTTCTTGAATGTTGGAAATGCCATCTGGGGAGCAATCCTACCCATTGTGAGTTGTAACATGCCCTGCTCCATCAACACACACTCTGTAAAGCTGCTGGCTGCACTGATAGCATAATGTAGTTGGTGGTGTAGTGATTCCTCAAGAAATGTGTGTAATTGGAAGGACAAACACCATATAAGTTTTGCCAGGATGTGAAGGATGAATGGGTTGTTGAATTTCATGTGAATGATAAGTGCACTGTCCTATTGAAATAAAATAAGAGTGTTCTCAAAAATAAATAAACACTTACTGTAGTCAAGGAGTGTTGATGCATGAATGCCAAAGGATTATCTACAATGAGGTGCCATACCCAATCAACATGAAAGGTATCTGGGAGGATATCACAGCCCTGTGGAGGGAAGAGGGAATATCCTATCACAACAGCCTGACAGATGATTGTTGTGAATGCAGTGCAAAATTTCATCATTGCACATCAAATGTTTCTGATGTCCCTATCATTAGCTGTCCAGTGGGTTGTAACTAGTAGGGTCAAAGAATCAATATGAGTCAGTATTTGCATGTTGATACATACCAAGAAGTGCTGGTATTCCAGGCCTTATTTCAGAAATGACTTTTTGATGATGCATTTTCTGTCAGCTGTGAGGGATGCTAATGTGTCATCAGAAAAGATAATGTATAGGATCTGCTCTTTCAAGGCCAAGATTGCTTCTTTGCATGTCTCAGGACTTATCTTGGTAGTGGGACCTTCAGTAGATTCTGCAGGTGCAGGTGCCACCACTGTCCCCATCATCATCATTGTTGTTGTCATGGGCATCACAGAGGGAATAACAAGATGTGGTGTAGGGGGCATGTGTTGAGTTTCATGACAATGTGTTTTGGATGTCCTTGTGGGCCCTGTGGTCTAGTATTGTCAGGCTGATTTTTGATGACATAGAAGTTAATGATACTTACATGCATCACATGGGAGTTGGAGATCTCACCCATCAACATTGGCTGTAAGTGTTGGAGATCTGGTGGTGGGACCAAAAGGGCTTGGAATTCCTCATCATCACTAACCCAACTGGGTGCTATAGTGGAAAGTTAAGTGAAGTGCTAGACTTGTTAGTGCAGGCAAGAACTTACCTGATAATCCACATATGCAAAGTCCTGCTGAGAAGGTACAAGTCCTGCTGAGAATGGGCAAAGTCCTGCTAAGAATGGGTAGTGTAGCCAGGGCTGGACAGCAAGTGGCTGTAGCCAGCACCAGACAGTGAGTTAGTGTACCTGGCACTAGAGTAGCTGGAGCTGGAGGAATCTGGGTGGCTTGAGTTTGCACAGCTGGTGCCAAAGGAATCTAAGTAGTTGTTGAAGCTGGCGCTTGGAGGGTTTGAGTTACTCAGGGTCGGGCTACCAGCAATTTGAGTAGTATACAGAAAAATAGACAGGTGCACTTACTAGTTGTGTGCATCTAAGTGGTGCTGCCACTGATGTGGGTTGAAGTTAGACACTTGAGCTGGAGGCTGTGGCTGTTCATTAGGGAGATTGATCTGTGTGCCCACGGGTGCATGGGAAAGGTTGAGACTGGACCCTTGAGCAGGTTTTGTGATCTTCATTTTACCTTTGCACTGTGAGGGACATTTGCTAGTTATCCAGGAAGAATCATTTTGGGGAGGGCAAAGGGTGCATTGATTACAATTCTAATACAAATGGAAGCACACAAACAATGCAAACAAACTTTACATCTTGTGACTCAGTGACTGTGAGCTAAAGAAGCAGAGAAATACAGTAGCTCAAAAGTGTCCCAATGTTTGTGAGTTTTCATGTAATTGCTTCATTGTGAGTCAGGGCGTGGGAATCTGAGATTAGTGTGTGAAAATATGGACATTTTAATCTGGTGACTCATTGGGACACTTTTTAACTTTCAATTTGATTAATACAATCTCTATAATTCTAGTACTTGGTGTGTCCTCCTGTTGCTCTAATCACCTCTACCACTCTTATAAACATACTTTCTATTAATTCCTAGCATTGCCCATTAATAATATTCCCTCACTATGCTGCAACTCCCTCCCATAGCTGAAATAGCCCCTATTCTCATTCTCAGCTCCTCTTATATGTCTACCAGGCAGATTTCTACTACAGCTGGTCTGGGCAGAATACTATTGCTAGACTTATCAAAATGACCATTCCAGTTAAGGAAAATATCAAATCGCATTACCCTTTTAAGCTTATACCATATAGCAAAGATCTTTTGTGTATCACATTTTGACCAGGCAGGCTACTAATGCTACTCAAGCCATTAAATGCATTGATTCCACCATCCACACCATTGTCTCCACTCAAATAGTCAGGAATGCTCTTAAGGCAGCCACCCTTAAAGCTAAAACCAAGAAGAAAAGCTTCTTCTCTCTTCAGCCAATGGAGGGAAGAGACTAGCTTTGTTCTAAAGCACCAGTACTAGACTTTGAGAACTGAAATAGAGATATCTAGTTAGATGAGATGAAAACCAAGAGGATAGGGTCAAATGACCAGGAATATGTATGGGAAAATGCAGAAGAACTATTTGGACAAAGAGAAGTCAAGGAAATACTCAAATTTAGAGGATAAAACTTGATGATATAGGGCTATATGAGGTGAAATAGAGTAGGAATTCTCCATGAGCTGGAGGGGAGGATAAATGCAGAGCACAACATCTTAATTTTGGAGGAGTGTCTGCTTGGAAGCATGCAGAAATCAGAAATCATTAAAGAAGACACTATCTTCTAATAGGATAATAATCTCAAGCATACTCCAAGTCAGCTATCAAATGGTTTGAAAACAATGTTATCACTACTCTGTCATAGCAAGCACAGTCTTCAGACCTCAACCCTGCTGAACAGCTCTGGAAATTGCTCAGGATATTACTTGCAGTATATTAAGATCCTTCATAGGGGCTATTTCAGCTATGGGAGGGAGTTGCAGCATAGTGAGGGAATATTATTAATGGGCAATGCTAGGAATTAATAGAAAGTATGTTTATAAGAGTGGTAGAGGTGATTAGAGCAACAGGAGGACACACCAAGTACTAGAATTATAGAGATTGTATTAATCAAATTGAAAGTTAAAAAGTGTCCCAATGAGTCACCAGATTAAAATGTCCATATTTTCACACACTAATCTCAGATTCCCACGCCCTGACTCACAATGAAGCAATTACATGAAAACTCACAAACATTGGGACACTTTTTTGAGCCACTGTAAAGGGGTGAGGATGTAAAAGAACAGTATCCATATGACAAACCAATAGAGTCATGAAAAGCACCATGATGAATGAACAACACATGTATTACACCATTCCTTATCAATATATCAGTGTGATATAATGAACAGATACATGCACCCCACTTACCATGATAGGAACTCACATTGCAGCACTGCATGAGGCTTTGGGACAAATGCCAAGGCTTGTGGTATAGTCTGCATAAGTTCCTAGATATTTGGGATCATCTTCGTCATCAAGAACCCCACTGCCAGTGGGGGATCTGGATCCATCAGCTTTGGATTTCATAGATGCCCTGCTAATACTGTCATCTTCATCATCAATAACCCCAGGTTGTGATGGGGAGAATCTGGATGCTCCAACTTCAGATTGGAAAGTTTTGCCAAAATGTGAGCCTAAAACCCTCACCACATGCTCAGCTTGGTATGAGATTACCTTGAGAATTTTGTGTTTATCTTCATAGACTGCTTGAAGGTAGTCTTGATCATTATTAATGTCTGTGTAGTCATGCTCAGAAAAAAGGCTCCTAAAGCTATGTAACTGATCATCCATAAATTTGAGCCAGTCTTCATTATCAGTGTGCATGGCATTGGGGAACATGATGAAGCACTTAGCTTCTTCAATTTCCCATGCAGTAGCCAGCATGTGCTGGTGCACAGTCTCACAAGAAGCAAGCTGTGCTTGGTATCCTTTGTACAGTGTTAAAGGAAACATTTGTGCAAGGCCATTTTCCAAATATCCAGCATGCTTTATAAAATATAGATGAGTCTTTGGAACTGGGTAATGGAAATATATATGATACCTTGACAAGAGATTCACTGGGCACATATGGTTTCTGTTCTCACCCTGTGAGATAAGTTGCAAAATGAACCTCAAGTGGAGCTGGGTCAGGAGGGTATGGAACAAACTTTCTGCTCATCTGTTCATGTATGAACTGACATTGAGCATTGTAGGAAAGGTCCAGAGATGTGGATGGATCATAAAATAGGCCTTTGGTTATGGAAGCTGGAGTCATAGGTGGTGGTGTCTTTCTCACTGAGGAGATACCTTTAAATGAAGTGCTTAAGTTGGAATGTCTGGTATCAGGGGAGCTCCCTGAGATGTGAGGTGAAAATAAGAGAGATGACCCAGTATAGGAATTTCATTTACCATGGGCTTGTATAGGCAGATATTACTTAGTGTTATGTTCACACTTTTGGTGCTTATATAATCATCATAGTTTTCACCACCTACCAGTACCAGTCTGAGACTGAGAGTTATTAGCATGATTTCCTATCCTCTCTGAGCACTGAGCTTAGCCCAGAAACCCTTTAGGGCTGAACAGCAGCTAGGCATAGCACATTCGACCCAACTTTAGAAGGCTACTTTCCAGTTCTCTTCTTGTTGTGTTTCCCATACTGGGAATTGAAGAACATTCTGATAGAGGAGACGATGGAGGACTGCTTGATGCAGGAGGGCAACTGCTGTGTCATGTGAGAGATGAAGATGGAAGTGAGGGGGACATGCTGGCTCAAGAAGTGACTGAAAATTCTTCAGAAAACTGCATCACTTCAGCCTAGTGTTTCTTTGGCCTTAATATCTCTCCAGCCTTCAATTACAGGCTGATATGTTGATATCCTGTCACACTGTGAATACAGTCAGCATTGCATACAGCAGAGTTCGAAAGACTTGGAATTTCTAACTGCAACACTGAGTTCATTGCCCAAAGCAAATAAAATGTGCATATCATTCACTGTTACCGGTATGCTTATCCATGCATGTATCTTTACCAGATTGTGTCCTAACTGCAGTGGGGAGTTCTCTTCCATTGAAGCAGTTGTTCTACATCTCAACTCACAGTCTACCTGTTGGCCACATAAAGCATGTCCACAACAATTGCCCATTCCTCCTGGGTTGTGAGGTTCACATCCATTAATATTGGATACCACTGGCCATGTTCATCCTTGCTCTGGATATGTTTTTAGTCTTGGCAAAAACCTATTTGACAGGTTACAGGAAGATCAGTATGATTATCAGTGGAAGGTAAACACTTACTATCCTTTTCTTGATGAAGGGGAGTGGGAACTAGCTAGATTCTTGGTCAAAAACCTGAATCAGACACAGATTAACAAGATCTTGAAGCTGAAATGGGTAGGAGACTCTAAGTAGTACTATTTAGCAAGTCTGACTCTTCTTTCATAGTTTAACACTTGTCCCAAAACCATCCTCCACCTCAAAAGATCAACTTCTGGACTGGATGGACACTTTACCCTGCTTTGCAGAATGGAAAGTTTCAAATCTAGAGTTTACAGGCTACAAGACAATTCATCCCATCCAACTCATTTGGCGCAATGCTTTAGAGGTTGTCAAACAACTTTTCAGTGACCCAGTTTTTGCCAATCATATAACCTTTCAGTCACACATACTCAATGTCAGGAACCAGCACAAGTATGGAGATTATATGAGTGCCAATTTGGCATAGAAAATTCAGGTCAGTTTTTCCTGCTCAGTCTACAACTCAAAGATTGATTTCATATAGGACTGTCTCCCATGAGGTACTATGCAAGTCCCAATCATTTTAGGGTCTGATAAAACTCCTGTGACAAGAACCACCAGGGGGCTTGAGATGCACCCCATCTTCATCACTATCAGTAATCTTGATTCAGAGGTTTGCTCTAAGGCCACACTCTGGGCTTGGCACTGTATCACTTATATGCCCATTGCTAAGTTTCATGTCCATTCCAATTATCAAACCATTCTTCAGGCTTGGTTGTGGCATAGGTGTTTTGATCTTGTCTGTGCCAACCTCAAACTGGCAGCCAAGACAGGTTGCTTTATGCCTGATTCTTTTAAATTCATTTGTTATGTCTTTACACCACTCGTTGCTCATGTATGAGACCTTCCAGAGGCTTGCATGATAGCCACAGTCAGCAAAAATGTGTCTCCTCTAATGATGGCATTACAAGAACATTTTGGTGATGGAGTTCTCTACCCTCCTTATACTGGTTAACATATGCTACAACTTATCTGCAAGATCTCCAAAATGATTGATGTTTGGTATCTCAACAAATTCCAGAAGGCAGCCAATGCAGTCAATCTATCTGGAGTTCACATGCCATATTAGCATAATTGGATATATGCATGCCCATCTGTCTTTCTCTTTTATAAGATCTTACATGCCTGCCTTAATTTTTTTGCTGACAATCCACTCAACTGGACCAAGGAGGTAGTAGAAAAACCTGAGCTCAATGCTTGCTTCATTGCTTAGCACAAGCGGGTGGGGACACATCATTTTACCAAAGGCATCACACATATCAATCAAATGACAGGCCATGAGCATCAGGATATCCAGTGCACTATTGTTGCTTTAATTGTAGGTGCTGCCCTGCATAGATTTATTTGCACACTCTGTGCCCTCATTAAGTTCATTTACCTTGCTCAAAATCCAGTTCATTCTGCAGACACCCTGCTGTTGATGATGCAGGCTCTTTCAGACTTTCATGCCTTCAAAGACACTATTATCAAGGCCCAGGCAAGGAGGGAAAAGAAGGGTTCTAAGGACAATTTTTTCATTCCCAAACTCAAACTGCTACAAAGCTTTAGAGGCACAGTTGAGAGACTGGGCTCTTTGATGCAGTTTTCAGCAGATATGACAGAGTGTTTGCTCATCACTTACTGCAAAGATCTCTTTGTATGAACAAATCAGCAGGCCAACAACTTTGTGGAGCAGTCTGTACAAATTCTCAATTGCCAGGAGTCAATGGAACTATTTAACCTGTATGTGTTGTTCTGTTCTCATGGCACATCACTTGTCAATGTGATATCCTACTGAAGATGAGGCAGTGACAACTGTCAATCCAGCACTCTCCTGGGTTTCTCACATTCTCCCTGACAAAATGCACTCTGTTCATGGACCTTGACCAGTTCATAACCATTTCCTCAAGGGCATTCTTTCCAAAGATGCCCTCACTGCCTTTCATCTGACATCAATACCAGATTTCAAATCTTTGTCACCAACTGATATTTATAGTGTATATTTGATTATTGACTTTGATCATGCTCTCTCTCAGTTCATTAGACATTTTTCTCTCTCCACCGGTGAGCATACCTGCTGGAACTACAGATATGGGTGCTTTAGCATGTGGAAAAAATTCCAACTGCAACTTCACTCTGCCTTCCAGCCACAGCTGATCATGCCAAGCAGAGTGGTACAGGCATATCCACCTGGTGATAGTTTCCCCCTTGGGAACTGTAATAATGACCTTATTGATGTCAGGCAACAATGGCCAAATTAGTATGTCTATTCTTTTGTTTGTGTTCTAATTCTAACAAGATTATATATCATATTCAGCAAGTTGTGTTGCACAAGTTCAACTTGTTTTTTAGCTGAATCTTCTACATGCTTCTAACCTGGTCTTACCATCATACCTATCCTGTCCACTCCTCTACATTCAGTATTACCACTTCATTGCTAGTCCTAACGACCACCCTGAACTTGCGATGTGAACAGTCAAGCATTCATATGTGGAAGACCAGCATGGCAAACATAGATGTAATGGCATGGTCCCATTGACAAGTGTAACACACTGTTGTTGAGTTAATCCCAGAATATGGTGAAAAGGTAGATGACAAGATTTCTTTGGCCATTCATCAGCAAACCTACTAATTTGGTGACAGGTATCACATGAACAACAAGTCTACACAAACCATACAAGGTATTACAGACATTACAAGTAATTCAAAATTTCAAGCTGCTAAGTACAAGTGAACAAGCAGACAAACACCACAAGGACTACAGATTGTACAAGCAAGACAGATTATACAGGTATGTATCAATGTATGAGACATTAACAATATAAACTCAATTCTCAGATTCAGTCGTCCAGTTAGCTGAGTACTAAATAGAGCTCTCAGTATATCAATACCCCCAAAAAATAGTCTACCTGACTTGTACCACCAGCCCTGGACCCAATAAATGTTGGGATACTGTTTCTCCTCTGCTCTATATGCATGCATCCCATGTTGAGGTCAACCATTAATAATCACATGTTTGTGGCTTCTATATGACAGCAATGGAGGTTAGTAAGCACTATGTAGTGCTCCAAGATGCTGTCTGCAAGGTCTTTTTGAGCTTGACAAATCTTGCATTTTGCTTAAGCTGCTTCAAGTGCAAGATTGGAGTGGCTGTCTTGGTCTGGTTGGTTGAATAATGGGTAGTCAAGGTCCTATGCGCAATGAATAAGAACAATAAAAGATGGAATAGTGATCTCATGTCAGGTGCACAAACTCACAAACTGCTGCCCTCCAGATAAGCTGTGCTCCTCTTTAATAATGTGTGATCCCATTTGAGAAGATAAATTATTGTTTTTGTTTAGAGAAGAGAGACTTTGGTAGGATGTGCAGTGTCCAACTGATGTTGCATCATAAGGTCCTTGAAGGTGATATCTGAAGCAAGTACCATATGGGCACAAGGACCGAGTTCTTGGAGAAGAAAATGGAGAATTGCAAGACAAAGATAAGACTACAGAAGTGCTTGGAGATGAAGTTACAGAATCATTCATCATATGTAAATATATTTGTATGATGGGTGTACAAGCAAAGATAAGAAGTGTGCTTGAAGCATGTAAACAAGTCTTTCCTTCCAAATAACTATGTCAATATCATGTCTGAAATGCAGGAAAGTATTCAGCAAGGAGTCCAGCATCACTCATTACCTCAGTCAGCCCTGATCATCATGTCATAGTTCTATCTGCAACATGGTGGACATTTCTCAGTTTGCAGAGCCAGTTCTACAATCATGGTGATCCCCTGATCCAATTCCTCACCATATGCCTCTGCATTTTGATGCTGGGAGCAATGTCCATGCAAATGTTGACTTCTTTAAAGCAGCAGGAGAAGAATTCATGAGTGCGGAGGAATGGTATGAAGGCATGGGGACTTGTTACTCTTCAGATGGCCTGACATTCTTGGATCTCTTTGATGCAGATGAGTATGCAGAATACAGAAAGGATAATTTATTCTATGATTTTGCATCAAAAGAGGAATGGGAGATTGCTTAGTATGGCTGCAATCAATGAATTTCTAGTGCTCCCAATGGTGAGTGCTTTTCAGTGCTGGCACTTTGAGATCTTATGGACTCACAACTTTGGAGTATCTTCTCCTTCTCACAACTCTCAAGTCTCTTATTCTTCTTATATTTCTTAATATCCTTCTCACACTTTTACTGATCATGTCCTTACTTTACAGATCCATGGATTGAAGCTGTCATTCAGTACTGCTAAAGAATTGCAAAGCTGAGCTGAGATGCTACCCAAGGGACCAAGCTGGAAGTGTCAAATTATCCCATCTCTCTATTGCACCAAAAATCCAATCCAACTTTTTTGGAGGGACCTGGTCGAATGCCTAGAAGCCCTCTTCAGCGACCCACTTTCCATGACAAGCTTGATTTTGTCCCTTGTCACATGTACACAACAGCAGCACAGCTTACCTGTGTTTATTCAGAGTGGCTGACAGGTGATTCTGCTTGGAAGTTCCAGGTATGTGTACCCAAACCCCATAATGTGCGCTGTCTTACATAGGCCCTACAGAGTCAAGTGTCCAAAGGTACTACAATTCTTGGCACAATTCTTTCTTCTAAAAAAACAAATATCACCACTATGACTGGTGCTAGGGTTGCTCACCCGCTTCTTCTCAGTCTTGCTGATATCTGCATGCAAACTCACATGAAACTCTCATCCAGGGCTTTCCTACTCACAGCACTCCTTTCTATCTCACAGTACTTACACCCTAATCAACAGATGCAAGGTGTTCTCAAAGACCACCTCATACATCAATATCTTTCCATTGTATTAAAGCCATTGATGATTGCAGCCAAAATTGGGATAATGATGTCTGATCCTGTGGGAAATGTTCACCATTGCTATATGCCCCTTGTAGCATATATCATTGATACCCTGGAGGCATGTATGCTTGCATGTGTACACATGAAAACTTCCCCATTTATGATGGCATCATATCTGGAGTTTGGGGACAATTTTCATTACCCAGAATGTACATGCCATATCACTCTTGATCAGCTCACTAAGATACATGTCAATCCCAATGACCTTGAAGGTTATTTTGATGGATGCACCATATATTGTCTAAACAGTGTCCATGTGCCCTTCTGGCAAGATTGGCTGTTTGCTTGCCCTTCAGTCTTTCTAACTCCAGAGGCCCTACATCACTGGCACAAGCAATTTTTCAATCATGACCTTCAGTGGTGCATTGTGGTTGTTGGAGCTCAGGAACTCAATTTTCCAGCCAGTCACAGGCTATCATCACTATTATGGTGGAATAATGAAGCTCAAGCAAGTGACAGGCAGAGTCCACTGTGATCTTCAGTGTTACATTGTCAGTCTCATTGTCAGTGCAGCCCCTTGTCAATTCATGATTGCAATCCATGCCCTTATAGATGTCTGGTATATGTCACAATCCCCTTCTCTAGATGAAAATTTATTGGCATCTATTGACCAATCTCTTTTGACCTTTCATCAAAACAAAGATGTCATCATGACATTGGGTGCATGGACTGGTACAAAGATGATAATCAACAATTGGTATATACCTAAGCTAGAGCTAATGCAGAGCATCAGCGCCAGCACATGTAAAGTTGGAGCCCTCATCCAGTGGTCTGCGGATGCCACTGAACATACACACATGTCTGAAATCAAAGAACCTGCATGACAAACCAACAATAATGATTATGATCCTTAGATTTGCCACCATTTAGATCAACAGGAAAGCTGTGGCAATTTGTGATTGCTATGATGTTGAAGAGTGATATCCTTGATTTAGACCCTGAAGAATCACCCATGGACAAGGGAGATGAGGGAGACAATGAAGAGATTGCTGAGCTTGAAGAACCATCTACTCATCAATGAACTGCACTCCTAGAGGGGCTTAATCACACACATGTCACTACTAACTACTTCATCAAAGCAAAGGTGGCTACTGCATCTCATGGACTTTGCCCTCATCTTCCTCAAATGTTTACTGCTGGTAGGACTGCTATCCACTTCAACTATAGTCCAACTCACACTGGAATGAAAATTGACGATGTCACAGATGAGTTCAACATACTGGATCTTTGTGATGCTATTTCAAACTTTTGCAACTTGATGCAAGGAACAGAGATGTGATTCATGGGTTTGGAATCTCAGGAAGATCATTGATTGACCATCCTTCTACCCTGCCTTTTGATTATGTTCAAGTGGCACACAGTTTGCTTGCAGGAAGTTTCCTTCCATGATCCATGCGTCATCTTACCAGTGCAAACTTTGCATGCCTCTCCACCATGCCCTGAGTGGCTGAAAGGCCAACAAGACGCCATCCTTATCAACATCAATAGAGAGTATGAGTGGCCCCAGTCAGGGTTAAGGAGTGAATCCTTTTCTACTCTTATCAATCTGACTGAAGTGTGACTCCTGGGAAGGGTACACCATCTGTGAAGTGCAGCTTATCATCTGCCCAATGGCCCGACAAGGTTCTTGTATTACTTGGCAAGATTAGTATCTATGCTATGTGCATAGCATGAAGGTTGGTGCAGTCTATCCTGTTGCTGGGATACATGTATTGAAACATGCTAAGCATATGGATGGTACTCTAGTAGGTAACATAGTTCCCCTCAAGCAAATGCATGCCTTTATCAGTATGATACCTGAGCTGGGAGCTGCAGTGGACATGTGGTTGACAAAGGAGACTTCTACACATTATTCTTTGTCATTTTTCCTGAACAAGTACTTCAACAAGCAGCTTTATTATGTGCTTTATCATGCTTCATAACAGATAGATAGATAAATTGTTACACATAGTGCTCAGAGATGTTTTCTGATGATTCTGATGTTTTGATTTATAATGATAACAGATAAGGAATGTGCCTGGACAATGCCCAATTAGCAATTGCATGCCTAAACAACATTAAGCATTGACCACCTGAAACAAACCATCAACATGCAGTCACTGGACATGCCATCCCAGCAATCTGACATCAACAAATTCTTGCTCTGTGCAACTGTAAGCTCCATCAGTGTCCCTTCCAACCCATGCACCTTAGACACTATGCAAGCTCTCCTCAGGCAAGAGCTGAAAAAACACCTGATTCATGAAGGTACTGGAAGGGGAGCCAGAATACTGTTGGAGGACTCCATTTTCTATCATCTTGTGATTAAAACTACTCTCTGATTAAGTGACATCAAGACAATTCAGTATGACAGAACAGGACTATCTGCATACTCTGGAGGCAAATGGAAATTCCACCACAGGAGAAAAGGAATCAAATGTACTCATGGCACAAAGTATGAGCAAGAGGACAGTACAGAGGATAGTAGTGCAGATGATGAGGATGCAAAGAATTCAGGTGATACAGATGACAAGGATGTGGAGGATGATGTTACAGAGGATGGTGATACAGGTATGGATAATGCAGAGATCAAGGGTGTAGCACTTGGTATAGAGGCCTCTTTGGACTTGGTGATCTATGGCCAACCTGAAACAAAAACATGAAGTTTCCAAGAGTACCAGCCTTCTGGATCAAAGAAAAAACTCAGACCACCCATGACAACTGAACAAGAGTTCCAACATCTCTTTTACACCATCCAGTATCACCTGTGTCACAAACTGAAACCCCACTTCCCTTTCAACATCTTGGCTAGATCCCAGTACTAGTCTGCAAAGTTTGCCAATTCTCCTATACCAGATGAATACAACTACCAGAAGCCCAACATAGCCCTGTTTGACTTTGCCCTCAAAAACACAAGTAGACATGGGCAGACATCCTGTTCTTTGTGGAGCATACCTCCAGCAATCTTGCTAAAAAGCAGAGTATACCAGTGTTCTGGGGATCTATGATCAAAGCCTACCTAATGCTGAGAGAATAACTGTGGCATTGATTTATCATTAGGTTTTTGATTATGCCAATTAACTTTGCACACATTACTTTGACCACTCTAGTCTCATCATATCCTATCCTTTCCACATCACTCAAAACACAGGCCCTATACGACTTACAGAGATGTTGGGTACCCTCACTCTATCAGATAGCCACCATTTGGGTTTTGACCTGATGATCCACATGTGTAATGCTGCATGCACAGGAACCTATCCCAATTTAGTACACAAGGTGAAGGGCTAGGTGAAGGATAACTGTAACAAAACATATTCTATCATGAAGGTTCTGTGAAAGAGCCACAGACTTTTCTGTGGTGGAATGGTTTGTTATCATGTGGCTGATGAGGCAGGGAATGAGTATGCTTTAAAAGATTGTTGGGTGACAAAGGAGAAGAGAATGCACAAAACAACCATCCTGGAGATGATCAAGGGCATCCCTAACATTATTGAATTTGTAGACCATTGGATGTGTATTATGAGGGGGAGCCTGACTACACAGCACTCATTTGCAGCCAATACAACATGGGCCATCAGGATGACTTGATGTTCTGCAACAGATTCCACTGCTACATTCTCTTGTCCCCCTGTGGACAGCCATTATCTAAATTCAGCTCTAGACGAGAGCTGCTCACTGCCTTTCATGCCTTTGTAGTTAGTGAGTTTTATTGAGCATGCAAAATACTTGTATCAACTCTGTATTTTCAGCTCATCAAATGATGATTGAGAGGCGAGTTTTTCATGGGGACCTCAGTCCCAATAATTTTGTTGTTCATGACAGTATTGGTTCCTTCATTGATTTTGATCATGCCTTGATTCTAGTGGAAGGCATGACTAGCACCTATTCACATGGTACAGTAAGTTTCAGTGTGCATTTTAGCTATTCATTGTTCATTTCATTTTCCAGGGGACCATGCCCTACATTTCTATCTGTATTCTTCAGGCTATGCTAGATCTAGCTCCATCTGAGGTTAACACCAACATCCCAGGCCAGGATACTGATCTGAATGATCTAGATGATTTCAAGGTGGACAACAACATTGGCCTTGTTCCACAGGCTGCCAATACTCTAGCTGCCAATACTCCACAGAATGTCAATGTTGATATGGTTCTAATCAAACACCAGCCTAGCAATGACCTTGAGTCCTTATTTTATATTTTCTTCAAATTTGTTGCTAAGTATAGGGGGCCACACAGCTAATTGGCACCTACCTGGTCCCAGCAAACTTTTCCGTGGGCAAGTGCTTATGAGGCTTTTGGCAAGGTGGATACCCATTTGGCTCTGAGTATGATCTGTTTTGTGAAGATGGGGGTTTTGATGCAAGGCAGATTCTTCATTGATAAGACATCTGAATACTTCACAGAATTCAGACCTCTTGTCCAGAAATGGGGCACTATGGTTTATGGTGCAAATGGGCCCCAAGATCAGGTAGAGATGACCTATACTGGAGTCCTCAACCTACTCAATACATTCATGAGATCTATTGGTAAAGAACCACCTCCTTTAGGATAATCCAAGAGTCTTTGTCCCACATCAGCATCTCATGCTCTTCATACACCCCCAGCAGGGCCATCTGAGCCTTTATCACATTATTCCACTCATCTTAGCACATCTGTAGCAAATCCTCCAACATCCTCTACAGCACTTTCCAGGCCTTCATTGTCTTATCTCCCACAAAAAAAGAACAAACAGACAACTCAGAGTTAGAGGCAATGAGAAGGCATCTGAACTTTTTTTCACACATGTCATCCCACAACCCTCTTTCCGAGTGCTGGCACTCTGCATTATGGACTCTGGAGCCTCTTTGCCTTCTCACAATTCTCAAGTCTCTTATCCTTCATGTATCTCTTAATATGCTTCTCTCACTGTCAAAATTCAACTTGTTGTACCCTCTAATTATTATTACATTATTATCACATTCAGAGTCCTACTGTACCTGTACACATACTCTGTTGTGCTGGTTTAGTATGTCAAACATCAGCTTATGTGATATGACTCTGGGTACTAATTGGTGGCAATAGGTTTTGGAACCAAGTCTCAACACTTTCCACCTTGTCGCTCAATGCCTCCAAAGAAAAGAGGCAAGCATTCATACAAAGTCTCTGAGGTTACTCAACAAAGTAAGAGATCTACACAAGGCCAAGGTGGACATGCAGACCAGTTGAAAAAAGCTGGAGAAACCTTAGTGGCCCCAGCAAGAAAATGTCAGAAGGAGACTACTCTTGACATTAGTGATGCAGAAGAAAATCCCATGGTTCCTTCCCAACTCCAGAAACCAAAGAAAAAAGTGTATAATTAATGTTCCAATATGAACTCCCAAAAGCTAATGTTCTTCCAGGCTACTACTAAGAGGTCTCTGACCAGAAGCACCAATCTTACTCAGTGTTCCATTGGTATCAACAAGAATGTCAATTCAGGACACCAACATTCTGCTACATCTCTCCGAACAGCCTCAAGTGCAGCTCACTCCTTAGATGGGTTTGGGTTTATGCAGCCCACTTCAACTAGCAGTCAGAATGTCTAGAAGGCACCACAGTCCAATGAGTGTACCCATGAGGAGGAGACTGAAAGTCAAGCTCCAGAATATGGTATCAGTGACAACAACCAGGACCAGTATCAAACTGATGGGGAAAATGAGGAAAGGTACATCTTCCACTACTATCTCATCCATCTGTTGTCACATATGCCCAATGCAGGGACAGGGTTCAGGACCAGGAGCAAATGCTCAAAACAGGTGATACCATGGACTTCAGACAATGCACAGATAATTTGGATAGTGAGTACAATGGTGGAGCTCAGGACGATTTTAATAATCAGGATTTTGACTATGAACTCAATGCTGTGGGCGATTTTCTGAATCAAGGTATGATGAGATGTCAACAATTAGCCTGATACTTAGGGATTTCAATCAAGGTATTGATGGGGATTTTGATGATGAGCCTGATGCTCAGGACAATGGTATTGATGATGATTTTGATAATGAGCTCAATGACACAGCCAGAGACAAAACAGAGGAAAGTGTTTTAATTTTTGTCTTGAGGTTAATCCTATCACATGCTCTTCAGGAAGTTTTTGATGTTCTCAAGTGTCATCAAATGAAGAATGGACAGCACAAGGCTCCCTCCATAACTTATCTATCAAGGGCTAAATATAATGAACACAGACATGCTTCTAGCCACTCAAAGTCTCCTTGTCGACCATCATCTTGATGTGTGGTGTCTACTGGGTCTTCTGCTCTAGTGCAAACTTGTGAATGCTCACCTCATATTACTCCTGCCCACTCAAGGTATCCAGATTGGCACTCTCTGTCACCTCATAGACACACATCTCAGCATGTGCCATCTACACACCCTTCTTCCTCCTGTTACCTCAGCATGTGTCATCTATGCACCCTTCTTCCTCCCACATGCACTCTCATCATTCTATATGCTCAAGATCTCCATATTAGTGTTCAGCATCACCTCATAGACACACATCTCAGCATGTGTTGTCTATGCACCCTTCTTCCTCCTGCATGCACTCTTGCCATTGTACACACTCAAGATCTTCATATCAGTGTTCAGCATCACCTTGTAGACACACATCTCAGTATCTCCCCCGCATGCAGTCTTCACATTGGCATTCTCCATCTCAGCAAAGCACTTCCTCCAGTTGTGCTACACTTGATGAGCCAGATTCACACAGAAATAAGCAAAGGGTCAAGATATCCCAAGACAACCCTGCAAAGCTCAGTGTGGATAATACAACTTGGCTAGATAGTTGTTAAAATACCTAGCCAATATATGTCTACTAATCCTGCCTAGCTGCTACACTTGCAAGCAAGAATGTTCAACCCAAGGGATCTGCTATCTAGTCAAGTTTAATAATCAGTACTATGCAAAGGGTCAATAGTCTGAGGGTCAGGGATCAAGCCCAAAGGTATGGAATGAAGTCCAATGTGCAGGAAATTAGGTCCGCAGGTGCAGAGATGCAGAGATGGCAGGAGAGTGAGGGAAAGGAAGTGTCATATCCCATATGCCAGACATAGATCTCATCATATTCCCACGCTTTCTGGACCTATTTCTGGACCCCATATCCTGATCCCTATCTGTCCACCCTATGCACATTCTGTCCGGCAAGACATCCAGACTTTACCTCCTCTCAGATTCCAGACTACATCCACCATCTCACATATCTCAGTCCTGTTTCCACCCTGCCTTCCGGATCCCCAGATCTCTGGACCTCCAGATATTAACTGTTACTATCTCCAGACCTACTCCTGCCCTCCATCCAAGATCCTGCACCTATCCCCATTTATGCATCTCTGCCTTTCCAGTTCTTGGTTATCTCTCTTTCCATCTTGCTGATTGATCCTTGTACTAGTTTCATCTCCAAGTTCATTTACTTATGTTCCATCTTACTTACCAATGTGTTTCCACATGCTTGTACATAGCCTTACTCCTTTGCTTACTGATCCTCTTAGATAGCCTCTAGTATATAACCCCTGTACAACTACAGTAGAGTCCTCAGTCTGAATATCATCTTAGTTCCTGCTCTATCATCTTAGATCCTGTTCTACTTGCCAATCATCTTCTGGACTTCAGTCCATCTGAGTCTCATCCTTTTCCATAAGGCCTAGGGAAGGATTCCCTAGGCCAGAATTCCGGACCTTCGGATTTGTTCCCTATGTCTCTGTCCCAAGTCTAGGGGTTGCTTCCCTAGGCTAGAGTCTTGCCTTTCCAGCACTGACCCTCTTTCTGGACTTAGGTCCACTTCCTGTCCCTCCGACTCTACCTTAGGGTAGTCTACCTCTGTTTGCTTCTACATCAGACTTCGTCTGATGTAGCCCCTATTCCTCCCAGACCTCCGGACGTCCTGTCTTCTGTACCTCAGGATGTCCTGTCCCTCATACCTCCAGGCATCCTGTCCTTTGGACATTCTGTCCTCCATACCTCCATGTCCTGTCCTCCGGACCTCCAGACCTCCTGTCCTCCATACTGACCTCGGACATCCTGTCCTCCTGTCCTCCAGACCTCTTATCCTTCCATCCTGTTTTCCTGTAGAAGTATTACCTTGCAGTGGGAACTCTCCTGAGCACTTCCTGCATTCCTCCTAAACTCTCCATGCTCCTCCAGACGTTTCCTGTGCTCCTCCAGAAGTCCTCCAGACTTCCTCAGACCATCATCAGACTTCCTCTGAAATGAAGGGCACATACTCAGGGTAAGGAGCACAGCGTACGAGCTGAGGCCAAGCCCCTCTGAGTCAGTCTCTCTCTCCTTTGAGCATGGTTCTTAACAGGAAGGGAATGCATCAGGACTAGCTTGGAGATGCTAGGGAATGTCAGATAAATGAATGACACTTGTGTCAGGTCAAGGAGAGCAGGTAAACAGGTATATTAGCAAGAGTAACTCTAAGGACAGGTATGGGTGACCAGTATCAGGGATTTCTCCCTCCTACTCAGTGGTGATTGTAATTCTGGTTGCCCAACCCTATATAACTAGCTACATGAAAGTCCAGAGTCCATAGGCAAAAGTAGTAGCAAAAACATGGGTCCAATAATATGTAGGTAAATGGCCATGAGGTACTGTGGCCAGTGGAAATCCATGTAATAATGCTGTCTACTCAATCAGTAATGGGAATTAACTGACTATGCACTAGTGGGATTAAGCAGGACTGGACTGGACATGGTAGGGCAAGTGCACAGGATCTCTGAGTGGGTCCAATTCATTGGAGATGCAGAGATGGCAGGGAAGCATCAGAGATGGGTAGGAGATGTGCAGACTGGATGGGAATTTCAGAATAGGGTTCTAGCAGGCCAGCCTGAACATGATCGTCACATCAGGTTTTACCCACCTGCCTAGCAAGCATTTTTGCAGGCAGCAAAGTTAGAAATGTGTCTACAGGCTGTTCTAACGCATCTCATTCCAGAACATCGAGATACACTACAACTTGCACAAGAAGTCCTTGATGCTGAATTGTGGATGTACCATGAAAAAAAGATCAAATTGGATAACAGTAAATAAGCTCCTCACATTGCCTGACCCCCTTTGTGAATCTTATCTTGCTTCTTAGGCTATTTCCCACAGTACACAGCACAAATGTCATGGCTAGTAAGTGTCTCATTAATGGATGTACAATAAACTTATATATTTACTGTCAGCTCTGCAATGATCTCTTTATGTTTTGCATGGAGCTGAGGAAAGTTGTTATGTCTGTCGCAAAAGCATCATATGATATCTTTCCGAAGTGCACCATAGTGTGCCAGGATGAGGTACAGAAATGTATCATCATGAACACCACCAAGTTACTCAAGACCAGTGATTATCTTCATATTCCTGATTCATCTAATGTATGGTTACTTGTTTACTCCTCCCCAAGGCAGCCACTCACTATTAGTTTTATAGGGCAAATGGAAGAATTTTGTCTCACAAGCTCTAAGGAATAGCTGCCTCAAATTCTACTACAGCAATAGCAAGAAGGCCCTCAAGAATACAGATGAATTTCAACATACAATACCTGTCAATGGGCTGCTTCTTGTGGGCACCATGGTCCACCATGTTATTTTATTTTATTTGCTTTATTTAGTCATTGACAAATCAACAGATGAAGGGTGTCCTCACTGGGTTTTGTGAGACCAGCACTGACAAAGTCCCTGACCTCTCTGCAGATAAATGTAGGGCTGACTTCAACTTGTTGCAGAGGTCTGTAGATGCACTTATAGAAAATCCTGACCATCATATGGAGCTCAAGGAGATGTTAGAGCAGTGGACTATGATTGGGGTGGGTGACCTTGATTTTGATGAGGGTAATATGGGAGGCAGTGATATAGAGGATGTCAACATCATCTTATAATCTAGCATAGTCTGATTCAGTGTTTTGTAATTTGTGACAATCAGCACAGTTTTTGCATCCTATACAAGCCTGTACAATGTCTAGCAACTGCATAAGCTTATACCACATGTCCTACCTATACAACATGTATCACATGTATTGTCTGTACAAAGGCACAAGCTGTAACATTTGTATATATTGAGACCTTGTGACAGGACTGTAAAGGGGAGACTTTCTTGTGTGACTGTAAGGCTTGTACAGGTGTTACAAACTTGGATGGAGCGTCATTCCAATAAAGGAATCAAGGATCAAGGTCAATCAAGGACTGAGCCTTATCGAGTTAATGCCTCCCTCAGGAGCAATCGTCTAGACTCCCACAGGATCTAGAGTTCAAATGGGACAATGGCTAGCCTCCTTCCCAAGGAGCTAGAGTTCAAGTATCGAAGAGAACTGAGTAGATTCAAGTTAGAGAAAATACAAGCAGTAACTAAGGCTTTTATATATGTAAGAGAATTGTGCACAGGCCAAGCTGGGCAAAGGGTAATGACTACTAAGAGAGGAAGGTTCATGGGAAAACAAAGTATGAGTCAGAGATAAAGGAGACCATGAGGAAACAGCACAGTGAAAAGGAAGCATTAGAAGTACAGCTATAAGGTGTCTGCAGTGATGATGGGAAAAAGAGTGGGGTATTGTAACAACAGGCTTGTACAGTTTTGTACAATATTGTACAGGTACTGGCTGGTTTGCTGATGTTTGTTTGGAGAGTTATGACTGTTTTTTCCTGAACAATTTCACAGATAAGGAGAGTTATCACATGTTGAGTACAGAGTTCGCATAGTATTGGTAGCTCACAAATAGCAATATAGTTTTGAATCCATGTATTAATCACTGTCAAGATTTCACTACTAATGAGTGGCCCTAGCCTAGGGTTTGAGAATGCATACCTTAGACTAATGGTTCAATATCGAGATATTCATTGTAACTACGGAAAATCAGTTCCACCAATCGCGTTGCTCCATTAGCGGCTCACCGTAAGCATCAAACTTCTTTTTGATAAGCGAAAATTATGGGTCTTTTGCTGATGCGTTTCGAAATTTCAACATTGATACCTTCACTTCTATTTGGTCAGCCACACGTACATGTTAACGTTGTTGACTTCATATTAGAGATTTGAGAACGTGGTGTTTTACCTGTTGCCGTCATGGTTGCCCATACTTATTTTCGCAGACAAACCAGCACTAACGGTCCCAAAGTAAGTTCAAATATTCAGCTTATCTGCTCAATAGGCACATCGTCAAAGCTATATGCTCAATTTCCTACATTGTGTGCGACCTGATCCCTTATCATTATCTGGGCTCACTCACATCCTCGGGGATCATTCCGCCGCGCGATCTTGACTGACCTATTATTAAATAGCTTGAACTTTGATAGAGCAGATTAAGTGAGAATTCGCGATTCCGCGGCTCGACATCTGCCCTCACGAGCACGTCCCGTGCACCGTCTGCCAGCCAGCATATAAGCAAGAACCCGTGTACACGTTATCCCTTCACCTTGGACCGTTCCCTTGTCTCGATATTATGTCCAGCTCTGTCGACGAGAAAGATGGCGGCTCAAACAGTCCCGATAATGATTCTATCTCCGTGTACGAACGACCAAAGGGCTTGCGTGGTATTTACTATCACCCCATAACGCAAATCGTTATGCTTGCTTTTGTTTGCTTCTTATGCCCTGGAATGTTTAACGCCCTCACTGGACTCGGCGGAGGCGGCCAAGTCGACCCAACAACTTCTGCAAACTCAACTTGTGCGGTATACGCAACATATGCGTTTTTCGCGTTCTTCTCTGGGTAAAGACATTTCATCTCATGACCATCCGGTGGTTAATTGATTGAACGTACAAATTGAAAGAACCGTCAACAACAAGATTGGCGCTAAGCGTACTCTGCTCTTTGGAACATTGGGCTATGCGCTCTACGTTGGTTCTTACCTGCAAGTTCTTTTTCTTTTCCTGCCAGTCTCCGCCCTTATGCCTAATCCAGCGCAATCAATATCCACCCTGGCGCTGGCTGGTTTGTTGTTACCTCGGGTGCCCTTCTCGGTGTCACTGCTGCGTTCCTGTGGACCGCTCAGGGCTCGATTATGCTAAGTTACTGTACTGAAGCACAGAAGGGCATTTTTATCAGTATATTCTGGGCCATTTTCAACTTGGGAGCAGTCGTAGGAGCTTCCGTGTCCTTCGGACAGAATATCCACTCAACGGTATGTACTGCGGTGCATTATTGACACCACCGCTTACCACTGCGGCTTTAGAACAACAACGGTAAGTCTCCTCCTTAATCATGCATTCCTCTTAAATCAACTCGTCTCCTATCAAGTCAGTAATGGAACATATGTTGGTCCTCTCAAACGCTTCGTTGGCACTGTCACTAATCATGATTACTGCACAGGTGGGAATCCTGGTTCTCACAATACTTGGGGTGACGATTCCTCTTCTGATGGCTGATCCCGACAAAATGATCCGCACGGACGGTACGAGGGTCGTGATGCCTCGCCATCCGTCATGGAAGTCCGAATTTCATGGCTTATGGGTTGCTATAATCACAGACCCCATGGTCCTCTTGCTCTTCCCGATGTTCTTTGCGAGTAATTACTTTTATACATGGCGTACGTTGCTTTTGGCTCCCACCACCTGAAACGCCTGACCCTCTGTGAGCAGAGTTCAACGATTACAACTCAGCATTGTTTAACATCCGCGCGAGGTCCCTCAATAATTTCATGTACTGGCTTTCGCAGATCATTGGCAGCGGAATGATCGGTGTCGTCCTAGACTCCAAGAGGCTGCGGAGACGTGTGCGCGCGTTCACTGGCTGGGGCATTCTAATGGCGATGACATTTACAGTGCACATCTGGGCTTATTATTACCAACGGTTCGCATTCTCCCGCATAGATAGATCTTCCCATCAATTCTTGATGATCTTGTATCCAGGACGTACACTCGCACTTCCGTCCCCCCAGACTCTCAGAAGATGGATATTTATGACACGAGGTACCCAGCGCATGTCTGGCTCATGATATTTTATGGATTGCTGGACGCAATGTGGCAGACGACAAGCTTCTGGCTCATCGGTGCCATGAGCAATGATGCGAACAAGCTGGCTATCTACTCCGGGTTTTGTATGCCTCGTCTCTGATTCCACCTGGTACGTGAGTCCTAACTGTATTTTTTTTTGCAGACCACTCCATTCAGAGCGCTGGAGCTGCTGGTGTGTGGCGGATGGACGCAATGGGGCTTCCGTGAGTCTTAGTCACTCGACCAACTGACCAAGTTCGAAAGTTAACCCCGGTCTTACAGCTACATGAACATATTCCTCTCTACGTGGTGTCTAGTTGTTGCTGGTCTTGTGTTCTCTTTCCCGATGATCTACCTGCGCATCAGAGATACAACTGTGCTCGAAGACGAAGGCTTGTGCGTGACTCTTCTTCCTTCATGTGTCTGTTCGCAGTTGCTAAATTTGTGTGATATACAGAATGAAGAGAGATCAGGAGATAAATAATACGAAGGCGAAAGGGATGATCGAGAGCGGGAACGAGATGTCATGAGGACATGATATGTGCTCATGACCATTCACACATGTCAATTTGAAAATCAAATTGTGCACCTGCAGACCTTGAACTCCATCCACCATCATTCAGCTTCAAACCTTTTAAACTCAGAACGCAGTTGATGCACTGTGGTAGCGATACAAAATATGCCATGGAAATCTGGGCACGTAAGCCTCGTTCAATAGGTCAAGTTGCACAGTATAGAAGGAACCATTATCCTCATTCGTCTATGGTCTGTCTGAGGGGGATCACGTGGAATGCACTTATCGTCTTTGGAGTGGACACGGAAGTGTATTCTGGAAGATGCAACATGCGAACCAGACTTTATGCATCATACGACCATGTGCATCGTGCTGTCTAACATTTATCCTTGACAGTGAGAATGATAGAAATAAACAGCAGGAGAACTATATTATAACATCCCCGTTAACTTGCTATCAACGCTTGCGGACCCATGTCTATCAATTGAGTGTTATCTACGTAAGCTTGTTCTAGTAATACTCATGTCAGCTTCAAACGCTGGACCTGCTATCCTTGGCGCGGGTATCTTCGCTAAGGAAGGTATGCAAGATAATCAATTGCCTGGCTCACCCACCCTGCTCCGAACATTCACTTTTACCTTCTAATTATATTTCAACAGCACACCTTCCCGCACTGCAAACGCTTGGCCCTCCCGCACCAAAGCTCAAAGCGGTTTACTCACGATCGGAGAAGAGCGCTCGTGAACTCGCTGCCCAAGCAACAGCCCTCCTCGATACTACCCCTGATGTCTACTTTGACCTTTCAATCTCGATGCACTTCTCGCCAGGTCTGACATTTCATCCGTTATCATTGTCCTCCCAATCACCCATCAGCCGTCGATTGTGTTGAGAGCACTCGCTGCCGGTAAACACGTGCTAAGCGAAAAGCCCGTTGCAGCAGACGCGGCATCTGGTGTCAAATTGATCGCTCAGTATGAAGCCCAGTATAAGCCCAAGGGGCTCGTATGGAGAGTAGCCGAAAATTGGGAGGCTGAGCCAGGCCACATTGCCGCTGGCCGTGCTATCGCAGCCGGCAAGATAGGAAAAGTCACCTTCTTCAGCTCCCGTACTGTTAACTTCATGGACCAGGGTACCAAATGGTATACCTCGACGTGGCGGATTTTTCCAGAGGAAAGTTGATTTTCTTGATCTGTTGTCTGATCTGACAAGATTTGGACTGTGCCCCCGCTTCAATCGGATTAGCATCAAGGAGGTTTCGTGGTAAGAACCATGTTGTGCTTACACTCAAACAGCTGACACTTAACTGAGTTTAGCTCGATACAGGTGTGGTGAGTCCCCGCGGTGAAATATTTGTAGACGCCGCCGCCGACTCCTTATAGCACTCCGTCGCAGCACTTCGTGTCATACTCCCAAGAGCAATGACTAACCTATCTGGATTTGCATCGCTCAATAGGCAGTTGCTTGCTCCCCACGATACTATTAACACCATAATGAAAAACGCGGACGGCTCACACGGCAGTTTTTGAGCTCAGGTTCGCTGGACCTAGCCTATCTCGTTGCGATGTAGATCGCAGTATTGTCATCACCGGCACAGATGGCTGGCTTAAAGTCCAGTAAACCATGGCCCATGACTTCCACGACGTTGAGAAGCCTATTTTTCGCATCACCATCAAGTCGGCCACCCGCGATGCAATAGTGTCCTTAGCCCTGAAAAGGAGGAGGTTATTGATGAACCACTCAAAGGGATAGAATTGGAGCAGGCGAGCTTTTTTGCAGCATTAAAAGGAAAAGATGACGGTCTTGGTAGCCCCCTCAGTGCACTGAAGGACGTCGCAGTTATAGAGGCTGCCTTGACTAGTGGTGGAGAACCCATCGATCTTGAGAAACTCCTCAGCCAGTTCTAGATGTGGCATCTGGCAGCACGGACAAGTTGCGGAATATGATACCCAAATTTGCAAAGCAAATTGCATTTAGTAATGAAATTTGTTATCGTTGACCGCCGGCCATTTCTTTGCGCCCTACATGTGCATTGTGCAAGTAGGTTGTGTGTAATGTCCGCGGCGTCTCTAGGTCGTCTCGGATGCGCACCATCATGATATGCCCCCGCTGATCAGGGTGCGTGATGGTACTAATGCACAATCCAAGACCTACCTGTGCGCCAGGGACTTACAGAAATTCCAGGTTGCGTCACAAGTCGCCAGTCGCGCTTATGCACACGGTGCACACAAAGGTAACCGGTAAGAGGTAGTGAAAGCGAATTAATTGGCAAATTCAAACATAATAAAGTTGTTCAGTGGCGGCAGAAGTGAGGTCACGGTGTCACCTCATCGGCCCGGGCGCATGTCACACTGCCACCGACATGATTCGAATACTCAACTTTCAACGATAACATCAAGTTCTTTGATTCCATCCAGCCCTGCATATTGCAGACTGCCTGCCACCTTGCTTGCAACGTTTCAGACAACCGTCCCAGTGACCCAGTCATTCTGCCTACACGGTCCGCCAGTAAATTTAAAATTTCGGCTTATCTACTTGATAGGCGCATCTTTGGAGCGGCATACGCATTTTCAGGCATCATTCGTGGTCTTCACTGATCTGGTTATTATTAAACCAAGCGCTCCTACCCTGACAGCCTGGATAAGGTGAGAGATCGTTGTTTAATCCCACCTTGGCGAGCACCATGGTCCCGTGCCATTTCTGCATATGTATCAATGTATAAGCATTGGAGCAAGCTCACCCGTTATATCTCCACTGTGGAGCGTTTGATCTCTGGATCATGACAAGCTATTCCGAGGAGAAAGATAGCGGTTCCAATAGCCATGATAATGATTTTGTCTCCGTGTATGAACGATCCAAAGGCTTGCGCGGTGTCTATTATCATCCGTTGTTTTACTTGCCTTTATCTGCTTATTATACCCTGGGATGTTTAGCGCCCTCACTGGACTCAGTAGAGGCGACCAAGTCGACGCGACGGCTTCTGCAGATGCAACTCGTGCGTCGTACGCAACGTACGCGTTCTTCGGATTCTTCTTTGGGGTAACACACATTTCCGTTTTATGGCCGTCCAGTGACCTACTGAGCATATGAAGAATTGTCTGCAACAAGATAGGCGCCAAGCGCACTGATGTTGAATTCGGAACCAAGGCTACCATCTGTGGCAGTTACTAATGAAAATCCTAACTTACCACATTGACGACAGAATTATTCCTAATACAGTGAACCATTGAGTTGTCTTCACTCGGAGTCAGGCTACTAGTAGTATCGCATTCATTTTCGTCGTATGTTGTCTTAGCCTACTTTATGATACATTGAGCAATGTGTGAAGATATGATACAAATACATAATGCGATATGTGGAATACATCGTCAGGGCCCCTGCGACCAACTAGGTGTAATCCTCCGTTCTCGGAACCTCTACAACGTTATCACCATTATCAATATTAAGACCTTCCTCTGCAGTTGTGGAGGCGTCTCTATAGTCGGTAGATTTGAGGCCCTCGTTACGTATATGCTGAGACGTGAACTCGATATCGGAGAATGGGACAGCGGTTTTACTGGAAGATGCCGCAGATAGTGCGGAGCTAATCCAGCCGTTCCCTTGGGCCTCGCGGAATATAATCAGCAAGGGGGCAATGAGCTATAGAGAGTCAGTGTAAAAACATAAATTAACATGATAATACTCACTTGTACCTCTCCGAGCACTTGCATGAATACATTAGCAACAGGACTTCCCGTCGCGAATGGGATCAAGAATAGTAAGGAGAACGTGGAGTAAATCGCAGCGCTCTCAATAATCATCGACTCGACACTAGTGTGTTCCACTACGTGTCTAGGACCTAGTAATGCTTGCTTCATGTGGAGACGATAGAAGTATAGGCGGAGTACGATGAGGATGGTGACGATTATATTGGTGGCAAGTTCACAGAAAAAGTATGGGAGTGTGAAATTCACAGTCATGCCAGCAGCAGAGTATGGTGATGACGATGGGGATGAGATCTGGTAGAGAAAGAGGGTGCCGAGCACTGAGGAGAGGAATGCCAAGTTAGGGACATTAATGCATAGAAGTGTAGACCATTTACCGAAAGATGAAAGGAGCATGGTCCCTAGCATCACGAGGATTGGCCATGGACAAATTCCACAATCACGGTATATAATCACGCAGCGCCAGACCTACACTTATGAAGAATGATGATATGACTGTTTTGACCGAAACTCACCATGAGTGCTGTAGCACACCAATCTGCCAAGACAAAAGAGACATTGGATATCTCATCCACAGCGATGGAAAACATCTCAACCTCCCACGCACTGGGACCACCTGGATAATTTCGGTCGTTTATGAAGGCGAGCTGGGTGAATTGGGAGTTGGAACCTATGAAAAGCGACCCTAGGGTGAACATGACGCAGACATAGCCGAGAAAAAAGCAATTCCTAGTATAATCTGCGTCCTTTATTCGCGTACGGTACCATAATGACTGCAGACAGAGCCAGGAAAGAGCCAAGACAATGCCATAGCCGACGCCGGTCATAATGCTGCCAGCCAGCCACGTTTTCTCGGCGTAAAGCTGAGCGGGGGACTCGTCCGGTGTGTTGGACATGGGAAACAGGTACAAGTAGACCTGTTAGTGGGGGCTAAAACGTTAAAACTGAAGAAGGAACCCAAGACTCAAGAGAGACATGAGCTCATCGGTCGGCCGATGGAGATTGTGGGAGAAGGCTAGCGCTGCGCTCAGCGTGCGCACCTCCAGTAAGTTTATGTAAACGTCGTTACTAGTCGGCATCGGGATCACCACTCAAGTCACTTGGCCCGCTTATCAGAGTGCATCAATACATTAGCCTATGGCTATATATATACTAGTATAGCCCCCCGGCCACCCCACAGAAGTCCGCACTTTCACAAAACTCATATTTCTATCTACTTGAAGTTCTCAACACGAATATCATTCTCTCTTCAATACAGCTCATTGCGAAGTTGAACGACCACGATTGAGGCAGAATTGAGTAAGATAGCTGAAGTCACTCACCTGCCGATATGTGCCGTGACGGAGTTTCAATACTGCACACAGCGACCAGGCGTCTTCAACACTTCAGCCATCCTCTCCAAGTAAAGTTTTTGCTCCAGAAGAGTGTATGTTAAGCCGTCCGACATCAATGTTTAGACAGACACTAAATCGCCCTCGTAACTTCACTTTGACATACAAGCAAATTTCCATCGCCTAGAAATCGGGCCTGCGCGAGGTTGCTACGAGGTTCAATATCAACATGTGCAGCATTCACTTGTCACTGGAGTCTCGGTATGTGTGCTATTGTATAGCGTTTCAAATGGAGTATTGAATAGATACTTGGTGTGAACTCGGATATATTGATAGAAGTAATGTTTAGGCGACAAGATCTTATCACTTCGACACCGGCCACGCTCGACTCTCGAAGACTTCTGAGTCGGTATCGATACCGACCGGTCCGCCATCGTGGACACAACTTTGACTGATTGGCTTATGGGTTCCTTCGAACCTCCGAAGCGCTTCGACAGATTGTCGATGATGTACTACATTTCTCCGAGTCGCGGCAAAGTTCAAACATGGCGAGATTCTCCAAGCTTCGGAGACTACACGATGCAGAGTATCATTCGCCAAGCTATCGAATTTCCTTGCCTGTAATTTGTTATCAGATAGACATAACATAACTGTGGCGCATGTCTGGCCCTTACCTCGAGTCATATTCATGCATTCAGGATCTGAAACGGCTTCTCAGGAACTGTTGTTCTAGGCATCAAACTTCAAGTATAAAACATTCAAGGATGCATCAATCGGTGACTTCTTCACGTTGTTTCGTCACTGTACAACTATAACTATGACCGGATATGCGGGCATCGTGTATCGCTCCCCAGACCAACGTCTTCTGCATTTACCACTTCAAGAGGTCGACGTGAGGGTATGGATGGCTGACGGTGAGTCAGAGCGAGATCCACATTCACCACTAATCTGTACTCCTCTTACCTTGCAGTCTCTGCGAGAGTTATGCTCTCTCAAGTCTTCGAGAATGACTCAGAGAGCCCTACAAGCCGCGCAAAATACGTATTCCCCCTTCCAGTGAGCGCCGCGAGTTGCGCCTTTGAGCTTGAACATGCCGATGGGCGCGTTATAACCGGTGTTGCAAAGGAGAAGTCAGAAGCCGCAGAAGCTTTCCACGATGCAATGGATGTCGGAAAGTCCGCGGGATTAGTAGAATGTGTGGCGAGCGCATTACGACGATCCTGGACGAATTCTGACTCGACCTTGATCTAGTATTCACAATTTCAGTTGGCTCGATTCCCGCCCGGCAGAAGGTTACAGCAAGATTGACAGTGAGTGCACTCTCAGTTCGTCATAAATACTTTGTTTGACAGGTGATTAGTTTGTGATGGATCTTTTGGATGAGGGAAGACAAGATCATGTCTATTTACAGCTTCCAATGACCATTGCTAAACGATACGGCGAGACTCCGGCAGCCTTGCTCGATGCATCCACGGCTAATGAAAGGACGCGCGTTGAAATCACTGTGGACGTCCAAACCAGTGATGCGATACAGGACATACGCAGCCCTACTCACCGGATTTCTCTACTGCGATACAGGATACGCGCAGGAACAATATCTGAACAACGGATGACCGCAAGGTGGTCATCTACGACGTTCCTAGACCGAGATTTCGTGTTGATGGTATACGCCCTTGGACTCGACGAGCCTCGGTGTTTTGCCGAAGTCCATCCACAGCATGCGGATACAATTGCTATGCGGCTCTCTTTTGTACCGAAGTTCAAAACGTCCCGCGTTGCGTCGCAAGAATACATATTCGTTGTTGATCGCAGTTCGAGCATGAGCGGACTCCCGATGGAGACAACTAAGCGCACGATGGGAATGCTCCTTCACCTCTTACCAGACTCGGATACAACATTCAATATCTTCAGCTTTGCGAGCGAGGTTGATGGTATGTGGGAGACGAGCGTGTCATTCAACAACAGGAACATGGAGTATGCGGTAATTATGTTCTGTTACCGTCAAAAGCAACTAGACATTGAGTGAGTTGTGCAGATCTCGAATATACAAGCCATACAAGCCAACAACGGCAGAACGAAATTTGCCCACGCCTTGCAGCTTGCAGTGGCATCTCGCAATCACAATCGCCCGACTGTCATATTCGTTCTTACTGGTGGAGGCGAACGCGTTGGAGTAAGCCCCCTTCAGAGAGAAGGTATATTTTCACGGTGTCGTAGAGTGGTCACGCAAGTCTTGTCCAGAGTCAAGCGCCTGAGGCCGTCGTCCTACTCAAATGTGCGTCTGATGTCGACCGAGGCTCTACTCGAACTAATGATGAGACAGTCATCCACAAACCTCGATCCATTCGAGGTTGTCTCAGCGGCTGTCGATAACTGCAGGCCAAACGCACCATTGAGGGTATTCACCCTCGGGATCGGTGAACATGCTGCATCGGCCGTGTGCGAGCGCCTCGCTCGCTCGGGCGGGGGTGAATGTTTGTTTGCAGTTCAAGCTGAAGACATGATTGAGAAATGTGCAAGGCTTCTAAACGCTGGTCGGACGGGTGTAATCGAGAGTGTCGTGGTTGATTGGCATGGTTCGGGCAACCCACAAGCCGTCAACTTCTTACCCTCGAATTACCATCACTCGCTTCCGCCCAGTGTCATGCAGCTGGAGCCGCCATCTCCGATACAGCAGGTTCCACATAGTGTCACGAAGATATTCCCTGAGATGCGCTTCAACATCTTTGCAATCACCACTTTTAGATCAATCCCTCCCGAAGTCAGGTTGCATGCCAAGGTTGAAGGCTTGGCTGAGATCCTCGAGTTCGTGGTGCCGGTCACGGCAGTTAAACCACCGCTCAAGGATGAACTTCCACTCCTTCATACTTTGGCTGCACGGGAACTTATTAAGCACCTGGCAGAAGGTAGAGCACCGCTTCCAAGACCTATGGCACCTACCACGAATGAGGGAGTTCGAAAAGCGGCGATTGTCCGCTTAGGACTTGAATACCAGCTTGTGAGTCAGCACACGTCCTTTGTTGCCATAGAGTCCCGACGCGAGGCAGCGGGAAGCGGGCTACGCCGGACAACACCACAGGAAAGGTCCTGGCAGCAGCATCACTATGCATCTCCACCTAGCGTCAGTGCTAGTGATGCTGCTGAGGATTATGCTCTGGTAGATGAGAGCATGGTACAGACGGCTTTGGACGACTTGTCTCGGGTGGTTGATGCAGTGTTCAGCTTTTTCACCTCAGATCAGGCTGCTCTGACACACTCGAGACGCCAGAGGTTGCTCCCTGGTACATATTATTCCACTGCGCAATCCCGTTCGAGCTCGTCGTCGAGTCAGAGTGCACGTCCGTTCCATCATGATAACTCAAGCACGGATACGTTCTCTACATTGAGTTCATTGGAGGGTTTCTCCACCAATTCTCAATGGATCCATTCTCGGTCGTCCAGCCTACTATACCCTTCGGAAGATCCAATCCAGCGCATCCCATCGCCAGTCTTCGACCCAACCCGTGACGCGCATCTGAGGGCACGACTGCCGGAAGATGCAGTAGTGTCTAACTCACGCCCACCACCCGTGCCTAAGGAAGTGTACGCTCTTATCTTGCTGCAGAGCTACAACGGCTCGTTCACACTATCGCCTCAATTAGAGGCACTTGTGGGCGTGGAGATCCTGGAAAAGGCAGCAGATTTGCAGGTCAATGAGAATATATGGGCGACTGCGGTTGCTGTGGCGTACCTGAGGCATCACCTGGGTGCGCAACCGGATTTGTTGTATGTTTTGCTGAGCAAGCCTCTGGCGTATGTTCGGGGAAAGGGAAAGGGATTGCTGGTCGGACGAAATTTTTCGCACTTGGTGGCGATTGCGGGACGTTCTGTGGGTTAGTGATGAGAATACAATTGTTTATTGTGTAGTGTAAGGTTTGTAGTGTCGAGGCTAGCAAGCTAGCAGCTGTTTTCTTGTATTCAGCAGGCAACTTCGCGATTTCATTGACAAACCAGATCTCACGAGGGCACCTGGTTTCTCGAAGTTTCGAGTTCGTCCCGCCAGAAATGAAAGCAGTGAAGATTCGTAGGGAGACGTACTCCTAGTGGTAAGAGGATGGAGGTGCAGGGGAGACCGACAAACATTACAGCGCTGGTCTGGATGGTGAATCGCTCGAAGGCGGGTCAACGATTGACAATCACGCTGCTTGACAGTATACTCTAGCATGGAGAATGCTAACAAGCCGCAGGAAGCTCGCGTGACACGGGAACCTAAGGCGAAATAACAGGCGGGAATGGTCAGGATGTATACTGTACTGAATGTATATAGGACTAAATGTCTCTTGCAGAAAGCAGCGATAGGCGATACAGCTCAGCCAACAGCAAAGCTTGTCGAATATGTGCATCTTCGTTGTGAACGGGGACAACCTGAGAGTGAGAATCCCCGAGATTTCTATAGTAGAACCAGGTGTGTATATATACGTTAATATCGCATGTTGCGTAGTATCCCGTAGCACATAGTCATTCCTTCTTTGTTATGCTTGTTAGGCGCTAGTACCTCATTCATTTTACCCATGAGGTCGAATGCTCAGATTCGTCCACGTAATCTACCACCACCGAGCGCTCGACACGTACACGTATATCGAGTTCCATGTCGTTGGAATTGCGAGGCGACTTTGGCCTGAACGCTGCATCGATGGGGCTTCTGGAGTTGTTAGAGCCTTTGGAGTGGCTCTTAGATTCGAAGTGGGAACGAAGACCGGACATCACTTTTTTCTGCGCAGCGAGTGTGGGACGTGCGACGATCACATTTTCCAAGCGTTGGGCGTCTGGCTCTAACATTCCTTTGCAGGTTTGGGTGATCGGAGCGGAAGCAACAGAAAGGATCAACATTACGAGTGTCAATGAAGTAGCGGTCAAGCTCTAGAGTGGTGCGTACCTCGTATGTTGATGAGAATCCGTTGGCTCATGACCCACGTTACAGCATAACCTATTGATGCCCTAATAATGCATTCTGAGGTGTCTGATCTCCTTCGTGCTAGACGATACGAAACTTACCCTGCCGACTAATAACAGGAGCGAGTCGATATAAGTTTCCATGGTGCATCCGAAGTCAAGCCTACATACCTGAGTCTCGATATTGGTCGTACGGTAAAGGATCAGATTCAATATATTTGCCGCTGAAGGGATGTTAGGAGGGTGCTCATCACAAACAGACTGTACTTGCCGGACAACACGATGAAATATCCGATGCCGTCATAGATCAGCTAAGTATGATGAGCGACGCACATTGACTATGCCAGTGGTAAGGGACTTACACCCGTATTAGCCGTTCTACTCTAACAGCAATGGTTTAGCGACCCGAAACTTGGGAGAGAAAGACGTACCTGTTACTGAGAGGATTATAACGCAGAAGATAGATGGTTGAAATGGTCACCATTACGATGTCATACATCATCACAGCGAGGTAGTAGAACCAGGTTGACAATACTTTGCCAGCATTTGCCGAGGTGCAGCTATAGTTCATGAAGATTTGAATAGCCCACACTGGTGGTAAAGGTCCACTTACTTTCCCTAAGAAAGAGACACTGTTTGCGTGAGATCTCATTGTGAGGAACACTGACGTACATCAACAACAACAGCTGTGTTCTAAAGGTCAATATGAACCTAAGATTAAGATAAGCCAGAACTTACGAGTCCGGTGAAATAGATCGGAGAACCACTCCGCCTAAAACGAATAAGAGAAAGGATGTCGTGCCTGTGTAATAAGAACCCACCGCGGTTGAAAAGAGGTATAGCAGCAATAGTACAATTCCTATCCGCTTATTTCTTCTTGCAATATTGAATGTCCTAAACGATATTTGTCTGTGCAGCTGTAACCCACAAAAAATTCGACAAGACATACCTAATACCTAGGATGGCCTGCGATATCATGGTTTGTATGGCTACAGCGTGGTCAATAGAGTCATGGTGTGTGAACACCAATAGGACACACCTTTGAAGACAGGCGCCACAAGATAGTAATGTTGACACGTTTGTAGGGTATAGGCGGTGGAGAAGAATCCGTAATTGCTAACCACTATAGCCATAATACTAACATAGCTGCATTGAATGTAAGCGGAAAAATATTCACAAGACAGACTGAGGATAGAATATACCGTATGAGAATAAATAAGACGCAGGCAAGACTAATGGAAATTGAGCTTGTCAACAGTGATACGTGAACATATGCCCATGTATACATACCTTATATGAAAGACTGATGATTGGCTTCGGTAAAAGCGCCATTCTGCGGGAAGTGTAAGAATATACCTGAACGTCATCTGTCAGAATTTCGTGACAACTACGGGGCTGCAACAAAGACAGAAAAGACTACTCACTCGTAAAATGCAATGGAGATGGATGCTACTCGCAAATATTTTTCAGAAGTTACGCTGTCTACAGCCAAACGCCGCTCCAGAGCTTCCATTTTTGTAATAGATGAAAGGCTCGTCGATTAGCTCTGCGATAGTCCTTAATAATAATTGAGGTGAGGAATGAGGGTAAAAAAAAGGAATATAGGCAAGGCCACGACTGACTCGGAGCAGGCTGACGCTGAAGGCTTCAATGAATAGGAATGCTGTGGCTCAGACGCTCGACAGAGAAAGAAAGAAGAACTGACTCGAGGAATGCCAGCAAGACATCGCTTTTCTACCAAGACCACACTTTGAAATTGATTAAATGTGCTCGGGTATTAGGCGACAAAAAAGGGGTAATCTTGTCTACAGTAAATCTGTCATGCAAGCCAAGATCAAGTCAAGGCGAGACATTAGCTGGCATTGGCAAGGCACGTCTAACTTGAAGCTAAAGGTCAGTGTCAACTTCGCTGATTAGTAAGCAATTATGCGGGGTTTATGAAATTCAAATGAAATTTATTTATGAGTCCGAGTCGTGCCAAGTCAGTTACGGTGCTCCTGCTGACATATGATTATTAAATGTCTTCAAGTTAAGACTTGCCCCAATCCTAGCCTCATATACATCTGCCCATAACATCTATAAATTTATCGGCCGCACGAGTACCGAATAAATATGGCAAGGTGCCTAAATATTTAAATGAGGGTGTAATACGGTATCACGGACAAGTCAGTTTACTCCTGAAGGTCATAGCTGTGCAATTAAGCGCCCACTAAGTCTCACATCTCGTACATAACATTGCTCAGTCGCGAGATCATGAAGATCTCTGGCTGTGTCTCCATGTCCGCGTTTGTATTCAACCGCAGCCCCAAGGTTTTTCTCAGGTCAGATCTGTACACGTATAGCTGTATATACAAACCATGCATGATTTTAAAAACATAAAAAAACAACCAGCTACTGCATACACTTGGAGACTTGATTCAATTCAAAAAAACAATGCCCGTGCGATCGGGTCTTTGACAACAAATCACAATTATATCATCACACCACCTTGATGAACTCATCACGAACCCACTGACTGCCCCGCAGTATTCACTAAGTCCCAAAAATCACGTCCAACGAGCAGCCTCGCACCACCTCTATTAATATACTCCAGAGCCTTGTTCATCAACGCATCCAATAAATCCTGTTGCGAACCCAGATGATGCTTCAGATACGCAACAACGACTGCAGTCGCCCATACTTTCCCATCGACCTGCAGTTCTCCTGCTTTGGCCAACGTATCAATGCCCACAAGCGCACCCAATTCAGGCGACGGCGTGAAAGAGCCGTCGAAGTTCTGCAGTGAGATGATAGCGTACGCTTCCTTTGGCACGGGTGGTGCAATGCGCGGAGGCGCTGGAGGTCGTGCCCCCGGTGATGCAATATTGAAGACTGGAGATGGCGCACGCTGGATTGGATCTTCTGGAGGAGGTACAGGGCTGGGCGGCCGAGAGTCAGACCATCTAGAACTCGTGGAAGAGCCTTCCAATGAGCTCAATGTAGAGAAAGTGTCCGTGCTCGAGTTGTCGTGTCGATATGAATATTCACTTTGAATGGATGGCGAGTCCGAGCGAGACTGTGCAGCGGAATGATACGTGCCAGGAAGCGGCTTCTGGCGTCTTCGAGTTGTGGGGGGAGGATCAGAGAAGAGGAAGTTGAACACCGCGTAAACCGCCTGAGACAAGCTGTCCAAAATGGTCTGCGCGGTGGACACATCTGTTTCTGGAGCACCATCATCGGCAGGATCACCAGTGGCACTGGAGTGGCCATGCTGCCGCCGAGACCTTTGCCATGACATTGACCGTCGCAGCGTCCTTGCTGTCTCATGTCCTGACTCTTCAGCAAAAAAGGACGTATGCTGGCTCACAAGCTGGTAACCAAGTCCTAAGCGAACGATTGCCGCTTTTTTAATGTCCTTGTCCGAAGCAGGTGTTACAGGTTTGGGAAGGGGCGCCCTACCCTCTGCCAAGTCCTCCACGAGTTGTCTTGCAGCTAAGGTATGCAGGAGTGGAATGGATGACCACTCGTCCCTGAATGGTTTCACCTCTGTGACAAGTACGACATCGTCGATAACCTCTTCCGAGTCTTTAATCTTGGCATGCAACCTGACCTCGTGAGGAATCGAACTAAAAGTAGTGATTGCGAAGACATTGAGGCGCATTCCAGGGAATATGCTTCTGATTGTAGGCGGCCCTTGCTGCATTGAAGGAGGTGGCTCTAGTTGTACGACGCTGGGCGGAAGCGGGTGATGGTGATTCAAGGGTGAAAAATTGACAGCTGGTGGGCTCCCTAAACCGTGCCAATCAATGGTGACACTCTCGATCTCGCGTGTCCGACCAGCGTTCAGAAGCATCGCGCATTTCCCTGTGATGTCCTCAGGCCTGGACAGCGAATAGACATTTACCTCCGCCCTCACGAGCGAGGCGCTCGCACATGGCGGATGAGACGCTTTCACCGATCCCGAGAGTAAATACTCTCAATTGTGCATTGGTCTTGCAGCCTTTCACAGCTCTGGAGACAACCGTGAATGGGTCAAGATTTGCGGAAGTCTAGTTTATCGTCAGATCGAAGAGTTATAGCCAAGTCATCACACGCACATGTATATCGCCATCAGTGAGGACGAACATAGCAGTCGGGCGGTCGCAGTTACGTGACGCAATAGCGAACTGAAGGGCCTGTGCAATTTCTGTCCCTCCGTAGTTTGCTTCCATGCCTTGTACACTCAAAATCTGTGCATGTTACCCATCAGCTAGTTGCTCTGGACAGTGACAAAACTTACTTACCGCACGACGCATTTCAGTCTGATTAAATGTCACACTTTTCCCCCACAGACCGTCAACATTGGTTCCAAAGCTGAAAATATTGAAAGTCGTCTGTGAATCCGGCAATAGGTGAAGGAGCATTTCCAGCGTGCGCTTAGCTGTCTCCATCGGGGCTCCGCTCATGCTTCCGCTGCGATCAATGACGAAAATGTACTCTTGCGAATCCAGGGGAGGAATTTTGAAGTTCGGTACAAGGGAGAGCTGCATAGCAATGGTATCACGACCCTGGGGATCAACTTCTGCGAAGCACCGAGGCTTGTCGAGTCCAAGAGCATGGACTGTCAACACGAAGTCTTTGTCGAGGAACGTCGTAGACCACCAAGTTACGCGCATCCGTCGTTCAGACTTTTTTCCAGTGCGTGACTTGTAGCGTTTGTAAGCAATCGTCGGGTGAGTGGGGCTGCGTATCTCCTGGATCTTATCACTGGCTTGAACATCCACAGCGATTTTGATAATCGTCTTTTCATTAGTTGTAGATGCATCGAGCATGGCTACTGGAGTCTCGCCGTATCGTTCGGCGATAGCCATCGGAAGTTGTAGACGAACTTGGTCCCGTCTTCCATTATCCAAAAGATCTATCACAAACTGTTCGCTCATCAGACAAAGTATTCAATAAGCGAGAGTGTACTCACCGTCAGTCTTGCTGTAACCTTCTTTCGAGCGGGAATTGAGCCAATTGAAATCGTGAATACTGGATGAAGGTCAAAGTGAGCGCTCGTCCGGTACCAATGAAATGTGCTCATCATACTGTCGTCCGTCACCCATTCTACAAGTCCCGCAGTCTTTCCAGCGTCCACTGCACTCTGGAAAGCTTGTGCGGCTTCTGACTTTTCCTTTGCGACACCGACGATAACACGACCATCAGCATGCTCGAGCTCAAAGGCACAAGCGGCAGCGCTCTCTGGAAGAGGGAATACATATTTGGCCCGGCTGGTAGGGCTCTCTGACACATTTTCAAACACTTGCGAAAGAACGACTCTCGCAGACACTAATACAGGGAAAGAGGAGTGCTGATTAGTAATTTTGGACTGCCCAGCCACGTAGATACGTACCGTCGACCATCCATACTTTCACATTGACCTCTTGAAGCGGCAAATGTAAAAGACGTTGATCCGGGGAGCGATGTACGATTCCTGCATGTCCGTTCATACTTGCCATGAAGTGACGAGATAAGGTGGAGATATCGCTCATAGATCCTTGGACGTTTTATAATTGGAGTTTAACGCCCGGGCTTCCTGTGCTGCAACTTGCTGGCAAGCCATTCCAGAACCTTTGGAAGCATGAACAAGAATATCCAAAACTGTGAAAGCCTGTGCTGCAGTCATGTTGTGTTCGATTCCTGTGAGCTGCCAGTGGTCCAGTGGATGAAGTACTGAATTGTGCCCCATTTGATACCGAATATCCCGGCGTCGCACCCGAAGTGCCGCTGAGATCTCAAATAGACCAGCGGCGGATCCGAGTCGGTCCCCTTCGAAGCGCTTCGGAAGGATCACAGGCGACTTATCCACCCAGTACAGTCACTTCCTCTTCCTTATGTATAACTGTTATCACATTAATCAAGCTCACCGCCAAGTACTACCGGTTGCGACGGCTTCGAAGCTGTCTGCGTCTGTAAGCAAAACTTTTCGCGATACGGTAGGGACAACGACTCCGCGAGTTGTTGATAATATCAAAACCGTCATGAACCGTTCTCCCATCTACTCAAAATCGTGAGTCAAGTACGGTAGAGCATTGCCACACTTACTATCACTTATTTAACCCTTCTCTAGGCTCTCGCGACCATCTCCAATTTTCTTCACCTTGCTGCCTGTGTAAACGAAGTCATCGACTCGGCATGGAATTACAGCACTCTCCCCGCCTACCAGGATAGTGTAAACCGTCTACTGCTTAAAATTTCTCCATATGATGTATATTCTGAGTCATGTCTAAGGGAACTCATAAAGCGACACCCGACTCAGAAGAACTCCCCCCCACATCACAGCCGATATGCTGGCACCTTTGCATTCGTACCTCAACAACCTAGACGTTCTAGATGCTGCTTGCCTCGCGGTAGCGTTAACTCAGTGATTCCTGGACTTCGAATCGCAGACTTTTACCCTGTCATCCGACCGAGAGCATTTTTCTAACCGTGTCGTTGTCTTCGAGCCGCATACGCTAAACAGTCAACGCCACAACACGCAATTTTGCACTCTTCAGGCCGACATATGCTTGATCTGTTGAATACTACAGGGCCAGGTGCATTACTGCTGGTAATCCTAGGAGTTGAAGTCGACACAATCCTGATCATGAGTGTTTCTCGTATTTGCAGTAGCAGTACTGCATCGATCATTCGCTCAGGAATCCTCGAACATTTGGGTAAAGAACACAATTTAGGCTGTCGTCAACGGTACCTTGCATCGAGCGTACGTATCACATGTTTTTTAGGCTACTTTCTCTTTATTTAATTGCTTTCGTGCTGTGCTTCGTTTTCGTGCTGTTATTCGTACTGCGGGAAGTGAATTGTCTTTTGTAGTAGCTACAAGCAACATGATGTACAGTAGTCTTGCATGATATGAATTGCCTGCGATAAATGCAACAGCCGCATCATGTTACAACAGCTTAAACCCACCTCGCACAACAATGCACAATCCTAGATTCAGTTGGTGGTGCATGATGCGGCACTCTCTGAACATCTCTCGCAATGTCCGATGTTCGCTGGGCATATCACCATTGATCAGTAGGGTGAAAGAGCCGTTCTGAACTTCCTATGTTTTCCAAAGTCATTTACAAACACGGTTGCTGTAGCACAAGTACTTACATTCCTGTGCACATCCCGTTTCCAGTGAGGTGCCGAGGAAATAGGTAGTGTCGGCTGCTTCTCACATGGCTGCAGCGTGAATTGATTCTCAGTTAGCATTGGTATCTTTCTAGCGAGGCACGTCGTGTTATACAGCATAAGTTCAACATCCAGAACTACAATAGAGGTTCCGTATCAACATCCAAAACATAACCAAAGGGGGAAAAACATACCGCGAGTACACATAGCAAAATATACCTCCGAACCGACTTCTCGGCACGAGGCTGATCATGTGATGCCAAGGTACCGAGGCCGTCGATCTGAACGGTCATGAAATGTGGCCAAGTTACATCAACTTCACTCAGAGCTTAACAGTTTTGCAGCTGCTAGCGAAACGGCTTGACTTCCAACCGTCACGGACCTCCGATGGGGGTACAATTTTTCCTGAGAACACAGGTTATAATGTCTTCTGATCAGCCGCTCCGGAGTGGCAATAGATCATCACACTGCTATGGAAGGTTGATCAGACGTAACTTTCCATGTGACTGACGAAATTCACCTTGTGATACACGCAATGTGAATTACGCCTTAAAACCCGCAGGCAGAGTGGTTTTGTGGCCCGATTCCGGGAAAGACTGGTGATCACCACGCAAGGCCGCACTACTCGAGATCAGAAAAAAAAGGAGCAACGAATCCAAATCACTCTCACAACCAGCGCGACGCATCTGCCGTGGAATACAGGCTATACACTAGCATGCGATAGCCTGTTACCTGCCTGTTGAGTAAAGCTCCCAGCGAAAGTTCATGACTCTGAAGGACAATGTGTAGATTTCTGAAAAGTAAAAAAAAGGTCAATAATCCTATGGGAGATTCAAAGACACCAGAGCCGGGTGTGGCACATCATCGAGGACACAGTGTCAACCACAAATCAGTTGCTGTCAATTAACTCGACAGCCTGAGGAGGGCTTTCGAACCAACATTGCCTGAGACATCTTAGACCACGAGCCGATTCTATCACAGGAGAGGTGGGTTCTAAAACATGTTGGTGCTAGCGGTAAACTCAATGTGAACGGTTGATGTGAAAACGCACGATTGCCAGAACGGAATAAACTGGGCTTCACACTGTGGCATCCTGAGTGAAGCTGCTTTAGCACAGGTGCAAATTGCGCTGGATCGATGAATGGCTATCACGCGTTTTCGAGACTGCAAGAGTGACTGTGCGTCAGATTCAGGCATAAACTGAATGTCCCGAGCCCATCTCATTGAGGGCATGGAGTGCGTGTACAAAAAGACCTTGTTCTGTGGGTATGTAAGCCTCAATCAGCTCAGCTGGTACATAAGTTACCACTAAAACAGTTTCGAAACAGATCGACTTAAGCCTAGAAGTACTAGATCTGCTTCAGTTAACATGTTCGTTTTTGCAGCGACCAGCCTCAGCCAGAAAGTCGATAATATTGGCTAGGAAATATGACGAGACTGATTTGCGAACAGCCTGACCCGGTTGTGGCTTGATGAGTGTGACAGTTATTACCCACGTGGCTAAGTGCAAGTGATGAGGAGGCGAAACAGCTTGTTTAGCTCATTCACCATTCCCTTCCGCCATTTCTCATCGTCATGTATGCTCCTCCATCTCTCCCGTCACAAACCACCTCAACACTAACATATTCTCCATGGGCCATCTGAATTGTAATTTTTGGCGACAGTGTCTGGAGTATTAAACGGGGATCAGGGTAATGTTTCCTTGCCTTGGGAATCATGCAATGACGAGGCTCACAAGTGTCTGTAGCTATGATTGATCCCATAATGTTCTGCGAAGCTTTCAAACGAATAGGGCGTTCCGCTGGGCATATTGGTTCACCGCAATCGGCATCCGATGAGTGCGATGAGAGCAAAGTCAGCAGCGAGTGTGGTGACGACTTCAGCGACACTCCCACATTGCGATAGTGGCTGCAATGTCTCGTCTTTGCCACCATTGCCTATATCTACCGTTTTTTTGCATTTTGCATACGTGCAACGCTGCCCTTGTCTGTGAGTCAGCTCCACGCGTCCTCGTGCTCATCCAAAATGCACAGCATTCTCATAGTTTGCTAGTGATCTTTGCAGAAAACATGCGTACATATCATTCAATTGGTCTTTGCTTTTGATCACTGCCATTTGATGGGCGACTTCAGGCTGCGTTCTCACTATGCCCAGAACTCGCATGTTGCTGGTCGTTGGTACGACGGTGGTTGATCAAAGTCGTAGACGCAAGCATTTTGGAGTGCATATACCCTCACTTTACTTGACTGTTGCATGTGTGCCTTTGTCGAGACTTGGAAATAGGTGAGAGCCGTATATCCTGGTTGCATATGCCATGTCAGCTGATTATCTGATGCAGGATACTCCTTCTATGTTTGTCGCCAATGATAACTTATTGGATGAATGTCGTTGCTCATTCATCGCAATTCAGAGAATCGTCAATGTATTTCTTTCTTGGCTGCGTAATAAAGGTGCGCGTCTCCAGTACTTCCCACAAAGAATTTCGTCTGATGAGTCTCTTGTTCCCCCGCCGTTTCTCGTGTCCTCACTACGAATTCTAACATATAATAGCTAGACGATATTCTGGCAGCTTGATACTGACGTAGCTAGTGTATTAGTCCTGAGGCGTTACAGTGAGATTGTTTGGTGAGGACAAACACCGGGGAAACCCTTGGTATTTGTCAGATTTTTATTGTTTTATCTCGGGCCGAGGACTTTTTCGGCAAATTTCCGACCACGCCGCCGCTGCCACCGACGACGACAAAGAGCTCAACTAGTAGAAGCCAGTCTCCCTTAAACACATCTTCATCCTGCCACGTCTCCATGTCATGCCCCGCAACCCGAATCTGGGTACCTCGACCCTTCGAAATCGCAATCGAGTTACCAACAAGACACGCCTCAAGGTCATCCAAGGTAGCATCGATGCAGACCCTCTCGTGCTCGATGAGGACGAGGAAAAAGCCAGGATCATTAGCACTGCTGGCGTGGACGCTGAGGACGCCAATGTGAGTTGTTTTCCCTCTCGCCGTCGCTTTCAACGCCCTTGTTGAATAGGCTGACGTGTCTCTTTCTCATTGGCTGATTGTCGTGGGAAATCCCTTATCGATGGCTGACTCATATTTCCACCTTAGGAGCACCACTTGCAGGCGGTACTGTCTGCCGCGTCGCAAAGACACCAATCAGTGGGCCGCTCAACACGTGGGGAGAAGGGTGTCGCCCCCGCCGCATATATTCCCACACCAGATTCCACTGGTATCGTGGACAACTATGACGAGTTATACCCTTCCCAGCGGTGGGAAGACCCAGGCGCGTACATCAGATCCTCAGAGACTGTCGATGAGGCAGTCTCAAATGCGCTCGTCGATGCATTCACGTACTACATGGATGAGCGCGATAAGGAGTGGCTCGACAGAAACAACGAGGAGGCGCGTGGTGAAGGTACAAGTGCCCAGGGTGCTCTTTCAGCCTCTGGCGCAACCACCCGCTCTGGCCTATCCCAACGAAGTGCCAAGGCGAAGGGCAAGGAACCTGAGTCGACACAACCTCTTGCTATTACGGAGGACGAGTTCGAACTTGTAATGGGCATCTTTGAGAAGGTCACCCATGACACTACGGAGTTCTTGCATCATGCAAGTTTATTTACTTGACCACCATAATGCACCGCTGATTCGTGTCACAGGGTCTCGAGTCTGGCATGGCGTTTCCTCCGTTTACGGACTATCAAGAAGCATTCTCCTCTCCATTACCACCCTCTATGTTCGCAACGTTCACGGTGCCGACGTGGACACCGCAACCTGCCCTACTATTGCGCTTGGCGAAAGTCATCTATCCTTATTGGCGTGATCGCCGCATCGAAAGAAAAGGCCACCGAATTATACCCAATTTGAATGTCAGTATCTCTATATTTGTATGATTCGAGCAAAGTTGTTCAAACTGCTTAATAGTTCGATGAGTCGGACGTGCTTAATGAGTCTTATATTTGCTTCCGCCGTCGCGAGATTAAGGCTGTCAGGAAGACCCGTGCTTCGCAGGCGATGTCATCCGATAAGCTTTTACGGTTGCAAAACGAGTTGACGCAGGGTCTGGAGCTCGCCAAAACGCTCCTTTCTCGAGAAAATCTCAAACGCGACTACACACAGCAAACGCTACAGGTTTGGGACAAGCGCTTTGAATTCGCCGAGCTCAAGCGCAAATTTCCCTCGTTGGGTACTAAAGAGGACGAGGAACTTCTGCTTGACAAAGAGAGGGTAGTAAAGAAGCCCAAGATCGAACCTAGTCGTATCACTGGACTCAAGATACGTACAAGAGAGAGCGGGGACCCGGGATCTCCGGCTGTCGCTGTCGAGGCATCTATCCGGCCTAAGGAACGCCTCGGCATCATCAATGCAGCCATGGAGCGTGACCTTGCAAGCCAAAAGGAGCGTGACCACGGGTATGAAGATGTGGTGGAGGTAAGATTACATGAATTACATTCTTCAAACGCTTACCTGTTTCTTTTTCAGAATCCTTATCAACGCCCAACATTTTCCTTTCCGCGACGTCACTGGAAGGCCATTTTTTCCTCCTCGCGCCCGTCAACCCCATCACTAGCGGATGAGGAATCAGAGTGCGTGCGTTATGTCCGCCACCGTGTGACTCGTCTAGGCAACGCTACGATCGATCGTCACGACGCTTTCATTCAACGCTATGGAATTCATGGCAATGACTCCACGTTCACACGAAGACGGCAAGCGTTTGCACGGCGCATGGATGCCATCATCCCCGAGGATGATGAGGAGATGTCAGCTCGTCTACGCGAGCGCTGGAGGTTTGATCACGATGATGAGCCCACGGTTGGACCTGAGGGCGCCGACGAGCAAGATCGGACCCTCATCGATGACTATGATCCAAAGTATCTCCGTCAAATGATGACATTGTTGTCAGATCAAGACCATCAGGCCCTTACGACAGATAATTCCATTATCGTGACCGTAGATGGCCGCCAACACTCTGTATCCCCATATCGTCTTGGAGTGCAACCCCAGTACAGTATCCGCCGCGATCAACATGGCGTTCAACGGGTATATCCTGGGGGTATGCCGCTGTCGGCCACTCGTGCAGCCCCCGCGGGCATTCCGATGCCAAATGGTGTACCGATATCCATGCAGGCGCATGTCAAAGCGATGCAACCGCCATCATCCATCCCACAAATGCGCATCTCATCAAACGGCGCCATGCGTCCCCCGGTTGTTGGGAAGATTGCATCCCCAAGTTCGCCTACTGTAGTGCAGCAGTCCTCTCCCCCTCGCGCCGCTTCCACGAACGGAGTCAATGG